TCACAACTCTGCCCGGGCCCGGGGCTGGACAGCACAGTGACCGAGGCAAGGGGGCTGCAACTAGCTTGCCTCACTGGGCTGGACGGGCACACTGTGTGGTCTCACCCCTTCTCTGTAGAGCTGTGGGGGAGGGCACGCATGTGAGACAATATGTGAGAACACGTGTGAGAGGACGTGTGTGAGATAGGATGTGTGTATGAGATGACACGTGTGAGACAGGACATGTGTGACAGAGCACGCATGCGGGAGGTCACGTGTGAGAGGGCACATGCAGGTGCCAAGGGTCATGCACAAGCATGGACCCGAGAGCATGACTGCCCTCTGCCCCGTCGCCTCCAGCTGGGGTCTGGCCCTCCCCTGGGCAGTGCAGCCCCTCCACTTACCAGCACAGACCCAGTGCACAGCCAGATAATGGACGCGGTCCCTATGGGCTGTCCCCACTACATGGCCAGGAAGTGGGTTGCACCTCTCCTAGCGTTCTCAATGGTCGACGCTGTAGAGGTGCAGCCCCTCATGACACATCCCTGTGGGAGTGGTCCTGATGGGGTCATGTGATGGCCACCCGAGCTGCAAGCACCTGCTCAATCTGTGTGGCTCTTCACCCCCGCCCTGCAGGCCTGTGACAGCGCGCTTTCCAGCAGCAGGAAGCTGGGGTGCAGCTCTGCCTGTGAGGAGCCTCTCTGCCCCTCCTCCTGGGATGCTCCGCGAAGCCACAGCCCCTGGGGGAGCAGGAGTGCGGGTGGCACTCGGATCCTGATGATGGCTAAGAGCAGTAGTGATGGCGGCTCCAGAAAAAGGTTTCTTTTGGGTCCCTCCAGGGGCTCGTCCCTCTTCCCTGTCCCCACCACAGTTGGGGGTTGAGGAGCACACTCCAGGACCTGGCAGCCAGAAACGAAGCCCCACCGAGCCCCGAAGTCCAGGCTCTGGCAGCTAGGTCTGGACACAGAAGTGGTGGACACCGCAAGCGCTGCTGGGCTCCCATCGGGCCATTAGCATTCTGCAGCGGAGACCCAGGCCTGCCGGCACTGCGGTCATTCACAAGCCCTAATGACTTGTCAGTTCCTTGCCCCGCCACTTTCTGTCTAATTAATTCTTTTATTGTGCACCGGATAGACAGACAAAGGCCTCTGGGCTGTGGTGCCTCATTCACATGCAAGGCCTCGGCAAGCTTTTGGCTGCACAAGCTCACCACAGGCACAAACACCAGCGCCCCTTAACCCTTTGTGGGGCCCTGGGGCGGGGCTGTGGCTGTCAGGCCACCCCAGAGGCATCCGACTCAGTCAGTCAGCCTGCGGGGGGCCGGGCCAGCTGGGCGCCCCCTGCCTCTTTCCCAGCTGGCCGCATCCACAGCCTCAGCCCTGGGTCCTGGGTACATGGGGAGCAGGGGGTGGGGCCTCAGCTACTTTCCTTTCCTGACTGGCCTGGTCCTGCAGATGGGCAAGTCACAAAGCCACCAACAGGTATGGCTCGCCCAGGAAAGAGGAAAGTGGGGCGTGCCCTGGGGTTGGGGTTCATGCTCATCCATGGGAGGAGGTGGGTGACGGGTTCACAGTGTTGATCCCGAGGCTCCACCATGGTTTGCTGGGGAGCCGGGGGCTGCCTTCAGCCAGTCATCCACACAGCTTCTTCGCAGCCTCCAGGCCGTGGCGGGAGACTGGACTCAGGTCCCCAGGGCCATGGCAGACTGGGGCCACTGCAGCCAGGGAACCCCACCCTGGCTGGGCTGCAGACCGTGAGCCTGGGTGGGCATCACACATTATGGGGAGACTGAGAGTCCAGATGGCAGGCCAGGGTTCCAAAGCAGCAGACTCCTCCTGGAACTGTCCTCCACGGCTGCACGCCCTGTGCCCTTATGGGAGGGCGGCAGGTGGGGCCCTGCGCAGCTTAGATGGCAGGCCCCAACTTCATCCTGAGAACCCCTCCTCACAGCCACAAACACACACACACACACACCCTCCTCACAGCCACACACACACACACACACAATCTTCACAGCCACACACACACATGCAATCCTCACAGCCACACACACACACACACATGCAATCCTCACAGCCACACACACACACACACACCCTCCTCACAGCCACACACACACACACACACAATCTTCACAGCCACACACACACATGCAATCCTCACAGCCACACATACACCACCTCCTCACAGCCACACACACACACACACACATGCAATCCTCACAGCCACACACACACACACACACACACACCCTCCTCACAGCCACACACACACACACACACACCCTCCTCACAGCCACACACACACACACACACCCTCCTCACAGCCACACACACACACACACCCTCCTCACAGCCACACACACACACACACACACATACACCACCTCCTCACAGCCACACACACACACACACACCCTCCTCACAGCCACACACACACACACACCCTCCTCACAGCCACACACACACACACACACCCTCCTCACAGCCACACACACACACACACCCTCCTCACAGCCACACACACACACACACACACACACCCTCCTCACAGCCACACACACACACACACACCCTCCTCACAGCCACACACACACACACACACCCTCCTCACAGCCACACACACACACACACACATACACCACCTCCTCACAGCCACACACACACACACACACCCTCCTCACAGCCACACACACACACACACACACACACCCTCCTCACAGCCACACACACACACACACCCCCTCCTCACAGCCACACACACACACACACACATACACCACCTCCTCACAGCCACACACACACACACACACCCCCTCCTCACAGCCACACACACACACACACCCCCTCCTCACAGCCACACACACACACACACATCCTCCTCACAGCCACACACACACACACACACACATCCTCCTCACAGCCACACACACACACACACACATGCAATCCTCACAGCCACACACACACACCCTCCTCACAGCCACACACACACACCCTCCTCACAACCACACACACACACACACACACCCTCCTCACAGCCCCCTCCCCCACACTTCTAGCCAGTCAGAAGTGACATCATGAATGCCTTTAATTTTACCATTTCTTTTTAAAATACTTTTTTTTTAAGTTTGAGGGATAGGAAAGCAGAAGGGAGGGCATCGAGCGTTGGCTGGTTCCCCAAATGCCCAGAATGCCAAGCCTGGGTAGGCTGAAGCTGACATGGAAATCCAGCATAAGCGGCCGAGCCTCCACGGGAGCCCCCAGTGCTGCCCCGGTGCCCACGAGCAAGGGGCTGCATGAGCTGCCGTCTGGTGCCCCTAGCAACCCCGTTCTGCAGAGCTCAGACAGGGGAAGGGCATGGATGGGCTTGCAAATGACACACTCAGCTGGGAGCTTGGCACCCTGGCTTGGGTTCAGCTGCAGTGCCAGCATGGTGGGGCAGGGGCAGGAATGGGGACTACCTTGCATCCAGCACAGGTGGCCACTCTGCCCTTTCCTCACTGCGCTCAGGCAGGGAGACCCATGGCAGATGCAACTCAGCTCCCAGGAGTTAGCGCTCAGGAGTCTGGCCAAATCCAGGCGCCCTGGCAGTGCCATACAGGCCTTGGGCACCTGGGAGCCCTGAGGCATCTTCTCGTGAGCCAAGAGGCCCTAGCATTTCATCAGCAGGCTGCGATGCCATGCCTGAGCCCACAGGCCCCAGGTGCCAGGAGACCACCACACTGGGCCTCAACAAGCCTCGCACACAAGCGGCTCTCAGAGACGCTGTCCTTGGCAGGCCTTCACCCTTGGACCACGTGAGGGACGCCGACAGCTGGCAGAGCCAGTAGGCGCAGCTGCCTCAGGCCTGGGCTCCTAAGCAACCCACCCTGCCTTCGTCACGGACACACAGCCAGCGCCAGCCTCCTCGCCGTCTCCGCAACCGTTCTCCCCAGAAGCCTTCCTCCGATTGTGCCAGCCCCAGCGGGGAAGCTTTCATCTGCTCCCAGCCTGGCATGGAGCCAGCCCTGAAACCCTGCCCAGAAGTAGGCAGCCCCCTCTGGCTGCCGGGGCCCCTTGGTGCCTGTCACAAGCCCCCCAGGACGAGGTCACGTTGCACTTCCCGGAGGCCTTTGGGGACGTGTCCCCCGCCCCACAGGGATGCAATACCCAGCCGTGTGCCCCCACAGGCCCTCACTTCATCAGTTGGCCATAGACGGGCAGCCGGGCTAGCCCTGGGGACCCACCGTGACCCTTCTCCCAGCCCAGCCTCCCAGTGAGTGCAGAAGCGGCAGATGAGACACGGGGTCAAGAAAAAGCGGCTGTTTTTTTAATTTTATCAAATCAGTCTGTACAAAAGTTAGCATGGCTTGGTCAGAACACCACAAAACGCAGCGGCACGAGGTGGACGGCAGAGGTGGCAGGGCCCCGGGGGCCAGCAGGGCCCTGAGGGCTGGGCTTTCCTGCCTACCAGAGAGGAAGTGGAGCGCAGGGTACGGAGCAGCACCTGGCCACACTCAGAAACGCAGAGTTCCAAAGGCACAGCTGGCCACCGGCCAGACAGGAAGCAGATGCTAGGCAGGTGCACATGGGGGACCCGCGGCAGCTCCAGACGAGGCTCAGCTTCGCAGCGCGGCAGGTGGGCGAGGGCCCGCAGCCCCCTCCCCAGGAGGCACCGCCGGAGCCCCCTCGGCTGGCGGCCGGCCAGTGCTGCGTGTTCTACTGGGCCATTCCAGTGGTGGCAACCCAGGATTTAGATGACATCACATCGTCTCCAAAAGAAACACTTTTGAGCTTTACAAATTTCACCAAAGAACAAAAATGAGAGAGAAGTGTGGGTCACGGCCAAGATCACTGGAAGAGCTCTGCAGGCCTCCCGTGCCCTGCTGTTGCCAGGTCCTCTGCCCTCTGCCGGGCCCAGGGTGCTCACCGAGCGGAACAGAGAGGCAGGAGCAGAGGAGACGCCAGCCGTGTCCGCCAGCAGCACTCAGGGCAGCTCTGGGGGGCTCTCTGGACGCCCAGGCACTTGTCGGAGTCGGCTCAGGGCCGGGTCAGGGTAGTGTAGACCGGTTGGTCCCAGTTACTGGCAGGGCTGTGCGCAGGTGGCACGGGCAGCCCATTGAGCAGCGGCGAGGCATACGGCCGCCGCGACGCCTGGAAGTGGGGGTACTGGTACAGGCCGGACGTGTAGCCAGGGTAGGGGCCGTAATAGCTCGAGGCCTGCAGGTCGGTGTAGTCACACGGAGCGCTGGCAAAGGAGCCGGCAGCAGCAGGGGAGGCCTGCGTGCCATAGGCGCCAAAGTCGGCACGGCCGGGCGAGCCGTGGGGCTGCTCGCTGTAGTGGCTGGGGCTCAGCTGCTCCGTCTTGATGTGCGGCCGAGCCGGGCCACCCTCAGTGGGCGAGGCCGACGCGGACGGGGCTCCCTTGGGGGCCCACGCCGGGGACGCCCCTGGGTGAGTGTAGGAGCCCCCGTAGGGGCTGGCGTTGGCCTGGCTGGGCTCGGCTGCGTGGCCGTTGAGCGGCAGGTACTGGTCGAACTCGTGGACGTCGAAGGTGTCCATGTTGCCCATGACCTCGCTGCTCAGCTCCGAGATGTCCACGTTGCTGAAGTCGATGTTCTGCCTCCCGCTGTCCACCAGGCGGCGTCCTTCCGGCTTCAGCTCCGGCCGGCCCCCGGCGCCCGCCAGCTGCAGGTCGGCCTTGGGGGTGGTGGGCGGGGTGGGCGGCCCGTGGGTCTGCCCTGCGGAGGGGGCACAGGCCACCATGAATGGCCCTTCTGTCGGGGGTGGGGAAGGCCGCAGGCCACAGGTACGAATCAACGGCTTTTTGTTCCTTCCCGTTTCCCCAGAAATTCCAGCAAATTCAGACCCAGCCCTGGCCCCCCCTCCCCTCCCGCTGAGAAAATTCTGCGGGGAGACCGCGGCTGGGGGGAAGGCGGGCAGGGCGAAGCTGGCACCCGGCGCAGCCGGTCGTCACGTAGGTGGTACCTGCGGGGCCCCCTCCCAGGCGTGTCCTGGCCGCGCCCCTCAGCCCTGCCCGCGGGACCCCATCCCTGCACAGTCCAGCACAGCGGGACCCCCTTTGCGTTCCGGGCGCCAGGCCAGGCGGGCTCCGAATCTCTGGGCCCGGGTCCCAGCTCCAGTGCCCGGCTGGGCTGCCTCCCACCCCGGGGACCCCGGGCCCACCTGTGTGGTCCTCAGCCTTGTAGGCGTGCGCGCTGCCGGCGTGCGGGCCCAGCTCGCCGCCGTCGGCCTCGCCGGGGCCGCTCTTGACGCTCTTCCTGCGCCGGGGCTGGTACTTGTAGTCGGGGTGGTCCTTCTTGTGCTGCACGCGCAGCCGCTCTGCCTCCTCCACGAACGGGCGCTTCTCGCTCTCGCTGAGCAGCCTGCGGGAAACGCGCACGGGGGTGTCCGCGGGCCCTGGCGGGGCGCTGGCACCGTGCCCCGGCTCCCCCGGCTCGGAGGCGAGCAAAACTGGGGTCCGCAGCCCCACCCAGGGCTCCCCACCTTCCGCTCGGACCCCGCTCCCTCCCCGTGGGGCTTTCTAGGCGGGCGGGGGAGGGCCAGCACACGCGGTGGACAAAAGCGAGGCGCCCTGGAAACTCGGAGACTTTGGGCAAGCGGTTGCCGTCCGCTGTGTCCCCCGCCCAGGGTTCCAGACTCCACTAGCAAACCTCGCGGTCCCACTCGAGCCCCCGCCAACCCTGGCAGGCACCCCAGACCACCGCGCCTCGACTGGCCAGCTCCACACGGAAGAGCTGGCAGGAGAAGCGGGGCGCCAAGCCCCGGGCAGAGGCGCGCTGGCCGTGAACGCGCGTTCCTCCCCGCAGGGCCCTCCGCCCCCACACACGCTCCTCCCGCTGCTCCACGCGGGGCAGGGAGACGCTGCGGGAAGGGAGCCTGCAGCCCTTGCCCCCTCGCCTTCCTCACTCCGTCCCCGGCGCCACAGGCGTCTCCCCTCGAGGCCGGCCACGCGCTGCCCTCCCCCAGCCCGCACACTCACCGCCACAGCTTGCCCAGCGTCTTGCTGAGCTCCGCGTTGTGCAGGTGCGGGTACTGGTCCGCCAGCTTGCGGCGCGCCGCCTGCGCCCACACCATGAAGGCGTTCATCGGCCGCTTCACGTGCGGCTTCGCCTTGAGCGCGCCGCCGCCGCCGCGAACGGGCAGGGGCACCAGGCTCCAGTCGTAGCCCCGCAGCACCTGCGACACCGCGTCGCGGATGCAGGCCGGGAAACGCTCGTCCGCCGTGCCCGCCGCACTGCCGCCCGCGCCCGCCGCGCGGCTGGGGCCCTCGGAGCTCGCGGGCGACGGCGGCGCGTCCGAGTCCGAATCCTCCACGTGCGCCATGGGGCCCGCGGCGCCGGCGGGGCTGCGGGGCGGCTGCGCGCGGGCCTCGCTCATGTCCAGCATGGGGCGCACCGCACGCTCACGCACCGCCGCCGCTGCCCCTCGGTCCGGCCGGGACCCGCAACAAGTTTCTTTAAGCGGCGGGCCGCACGCCCCGCCCGGCGGCGCCCATTGGCCGGCGCGCGCCCCTCCCCAGAGGCGGGGCCCGTGCGCCCCAGCCCCGCCACCCTCCGGGAAGGCCGGGCGGCTCCCGCGGCGCCCCCGCGCCCCTCCCGGGGCCGCCCCGCGTGGGCTCCCCCGGCCGCTGCCCGCTGCTGCACCGGCGGGGCCCGAACCCCGACGTCTCGCCTGCGACGCGGGGAGGTCTTGGCCCGCGCGCGTCCAGGTAACGCGCGCCCCACACCGGCCGGCTGACCCGAGCCGCCCACCCGGTCCGGGTGCTGGCGGGGGCCGCGAGCGCAGAGGCTGGCCAGCCGGAGGGGCGGGGGCGCGGGGCGGATGGCTTGGCCGGACGTGGGGGCCCGGGGCCTTCCGGACGTGACCCAGGGGTGGGGGCTCCGCCTTCCTCCCCGCTCCGAGCACAGCGTCCTTGGGTGGTCTGGTGGAGGCTGCTGCGGGCGTCTACGCGACTTGGGGCGGCGGGGTCGTGGAGGGGCCGTTTCCCCGGAGGCGAGCGCCGAGTCGCGGCTCCGAGGCCGCCCCCTCGAGCTGGCTCCCTGCCCGGCATCCCCGTGCACAGTTCCGATGAATTCGCCAAACGCGCGGGGAGACGCGCCACCCGGAGCCGCGCCGTCCCCCCTGACCTACTTGACCTGAAGCCCTGGAGCCGGACGCCCCCAGACCCCCAGGTCCTCGGCTCCTGACTGCCCGCCACTGCTCCTCTGCTAGGTGCCCGCAGAGGGATCCATCGGCTGCCGGAGGGAGAAGGCGGTGCCAGGCCTCCCGAGCAAATGGGACAGGTGGGCGGCCCCCTGCCTGCCTTCCTGCCCCTGGGCCTTGGTCGGGCTGCCCAGCCGCGGAGGTGGGGGGGACCCCTTCCCCCTGGCGACCCCCGCAGCCTTGTCCCGGGGCAGGGTCAGCACCTGGCCAGGGGGCTTACCCGGCCTTTCTGGGTGGGGAGCACTGGGCCCTGGGCTGCCCGTGCGCCCGCCATGGGGGGAAGGGGCAGGGCGGCTGCTGCATGTGACCCCGTTCTCCTTCGCCCAGTCCTCTTGTGCTGTGGGTGCACCCACCAGTCAGTTTAGGCTGCCCTTTTCCCGGAGGCTCTGCTCTGCTCCCAGGCCGGGCCGGAGGGGGTGAGATCGGCAGTGTGACCCGCACCCTGCAGGCTCTTACCGCTAACAGGGTACCACTGCCCTTTGAAGATGCGTGTGCTTACTTACGGTTTAAATAGTTATTTATTTTTATTGACAAGGCAGATTCAGAGAGAAGGAGATACAGACAGAAAGGTCTTCTGTCACTGGTTCACTCCCCAGGTGGCCATGGTGGTTGGAGCTGAGCCAATCTGAAGCCAGGAGCCAGGAACCTCTTCTGGGTCCCACGTGGGCTCAAGTATGGGATCCGAGTGCATGCAAGCCGAGGATTCCAGCCGCTAGGCTGCCGTGCAGGCCTGAGGGTGGTGTGTTTATCTAAAAGGCAAAGCGCAGAGAAACACTGCAACTCCATCCAGTCTCAGATATATATATATAATAGAGAGAGAAGAAGACTCACTCCCCAAGTGACCACAACAGCTGGAGCTGAGCTGATTCAAAACCAGGAGCTAGGAGCCTCTTCAGGGTCTCCCACACGGGGGCAGGCTCCCAAGGCTTTGGGCTGTCCTTGACTGCTTTCCCAGGCCACAGGCAGGGAGCTGGGTAGGAAGTGGATCTGCTGGGATTAGAACTAGCACCCATATGGGATCCCAGTGAGTTCAAGGCGAGGACTTTAGCTGCTAGGCCACTGTGCTGGGCCCAGTTGGCCCTTTTCATTGCTGGCTGCTTGGTCACCTTGCATGTGCTGCTCGGGCCCTGCCGAGGCTGACCCTTGGGGCTGGCCAATCCCCGGGGCAGTACAGGCCCCCAGAGGTGGCCCAGGGGAGCCCCAGGCGGCCTAGCAGAGCCTCGGTCTGAGAAGCTGTGCCTGGCCGTGACAGTGAGGCTCAGGGTCAGGCCCTGCCCTTCCCTGGACTTTCCCGACCCATAAAGTGATCAGCCCCGCCCTTGCTCACGCAGGGGAGCAGGGTCCCTTCGCCTTGCGTTAAAAGCTTCCATCTCAGACCGCAGACCTGCCCTCCGCCCGGTCCTCGTCCCCCAACCCCAGCCTCTGACCTGGACAGGCCACCTGTTGTCCTGTGGCCAGCCCCCTGTGGGCTCGCACCTTCCAGCCCAGCACCCTCCCCGGGACAGTGGCAGGTTGAAGGAGGGCTTTCACTCTGGAAGCTGGCGGCAGCCTCCCCGGCTCCACCCTCAGGCACCCAAACCCAATCCAGAGCCCCCAGAAGGGCGGAAGGGCCAGCGGCAGAGGGGCACTGGCTGGCATGGTTTGACCGAAGGTTTTGGGGATCTGTAAGTGCTGAAAGTGAACAGGGATGCCTGGGTATGTATGCTGAACACAAGCTGGAGGCCCAGCCGTCTACACTGGGCCCAAGCGGGAGGCCCAAGCGGGAGGCCCAACCGTTCTCACTGGGCCCATGCGGGAGGCCCAGCCGTCTACACTGGGCCCAAGCGGGAGGCCTGGGCATGCACTGGGAGCTCACTCCTGAGGGTGGGAGCCCGGAAATCCCCGCCCATGCCCTGACCTGCCCCCATTCCCCCAGGTGCCACCTAGTACTCCTTGCCACTGATAACTCATAACCCCACCTGGGTTTGCAGAGGTGGCTTTTGAAGAAATGTTTAATTATTTGGAAAGCAGTTACAGAAAGGAGGGTGAGACACCCAGACATCTTCCACCTGCAGCCCTAGTGGCTAGATCAGCCCAGAGGCGGAGCTCCACCCTGGGCTCTGGGGCTCCCCAGGGACTGGCTGAGCTCAGCTGCTCTCCCGGCCTCTGGAAGGGAGCTGGATGGGAAGTGGAAATGGGACTTGATTGGTGCTTGGGTGTGGTATGGTGGGAGTGACGGTGAGGCTGCCTCGGGGGTGCTGCCTGGAACCCAGGGGCAGCAGAGGGGCTGTTGAAGCCAGGCGGGAACAGCTGGTCCCAGGGCACCAGCACATGGTGCCACCTGGCCACTCCCCCACCCCTCTGCACCTGCTGGCCTCGGCAGGCTGCTCTGGCTGCTGGGCAGTGGGGCAGATAAGCCCAGACTGAGGATGGACAATGTGAGGGCCGACGGGGCTGCCCCCCTTCCCTAACAGATGTCAAAACATGAAAAACAGCGATAAATGAAGGATGCACGGTGAGCCCTGGGCCCCAGCCGTGTTCTGTGGGTGCCAGAGCCGGCTGCAGCTGCACACCAGGGGCACAGCGGGGCACAGCTGACTGAGGCGCCAACGGGGGTGTGCTCCCCCAAACTGCCATGCAGCTGCGCGGGGCTGTGGGCTCTGGTCCTGGGGGCCTGTGCTGGGCGCTGAGCTGGCAGCTCTGTCCCAGAGCCCCCGTGCCTGCCTCGTCTCCTTGGGCTACTGTCCTGGGGAGTCCACCTGCATCTTGCACCCCTCAGACTGGCTTCCCCCACCCCCGATTGCCCATCCTGCTGCACGGGATGTGCCTGGATGTCCTGCTGAGCCTGCAGTCCCCAGATGCCACTTAACCTAGCACTGTGCATGCTACCGACCCAGTCCCAGCACTGCGCAGGGACACCTGGGCTTGCCCGTGGTCACTCCCGCTCTCTGTCCCCACGCCTTGCCTGCTTTGGTCATTCCACAGCAGGGAGCTGGCGCAACGGACAGCACACTGGGTGTCTGTGAGCTCTGTCCACGCTGCGGCCGGGGTCAGACTCCTGCCTCCTGCTCCATTATGTCCAGGTTGAAAGGGGCAGGAGGTGGGCCATGGGCTGACCTCTCTGCTGAGCCTCGGCCCGTGAGACCTGCCCTCGGGCCGGGGCTGCCTGGCTTGGGACCTCTGTGGTCAGCACCCGCCCAGAGAGGACCCGAACCCGCCCTCGGCAGCCCCTGCCTCCCAATTCGCCCACCCTAGGCAGACCCGGAGAGGCGCCTGTCCCAGGAGATGGGGAACAAGGGGCCCTTCTCTGCCCGGCACAATGCCCCATTGTGCCCTGCTCCAGGGAGGGCCACGCCAGGAACAAGGGGTCTTTGTGAGGACTGTGCCCACCTGAAGCGCGGCTCCCGGTCACACCTGGAGGCGGCCCCCCTGGGCCGGGGAGGCCCCGAAGGTGCAGCTCCTGACAGGCATGGCAGCGTCCCTCAGAGCGACATGGACGCCCCAGGGTTCCTGAACCCACCCTGTGCAGTGTGCATCCGTGCTGAGACCCCTGGCTGAGTCACCGCTGTGTCTCGATATGGGAACGCCGATGTCCCTCGGCGTGGCCTTCACGAGGCCCACAAGGCAATGGGGGAGGCTGGGTGGCACGTGGCGCAGCCCCAGGCCGGGATCGGACACTGACTAGCCAAGCGCTGGGAGCAGATGCAGAACGCGGTGTCTAGTCTTTGAACAGTCCTGGCAAACGCACAGAAAAATCCGCTTCTGCACCATTCGTCCCCAGACAGCTCTGTCCTGCCCACCTGCCTCTCTGGGCAGTGGCTGACCAGTGCACCATCTCTGCCCCAGGTCACTGCTGGACTTGGTCCTGTCAGCTGGGTGCGCTGTGGGGCTGCGTGGCCGTGTTCCAGGCCGTGCTCGCCCACGTCCTCCGCGTCCAGCTGCGCGGGTCAGCAGGCATCGCCCAGGAGGAGGAGGGGAGATGGACCGGGCGCGCGGAGGCGGGGCCGGGCGGAGGGCGGGGCGGGGCCGGCCACGGGGGCGTGGCATGTGAGGCGTGACGGGGGCGGGGCGCCATGGGGCGTGTCGCGGGCGGGGCCTACCCCGAGCGTGGCGGCACGCAACCTTCCCCGCGCACGCGCAGCAACAGCCCTGCAATGGCGGCGCCCGAGGCGGCTGTGAGGCGGCGCAGGGCAGCGGATGGGACCCTCGGGCCTGGGTCTCCGCCCGCGCCGGCGCCCGAGCCCGCGGGCAGCCCGTCCCGTCTCCGAGAGGGCACCTTCTGGTTGACCAGGATCGTGCTCCTGCGGGCCCTGGCCTTCGTTTACTGTGAGTGAGCGTCCCCTCAGCCCGGCCCTGCTGCCCCCGCGAGCGCCCGTTCCCGCCTCGTCCGGCCCAGCCGGGGTCGCCTGGGAGGAATCCGCTGCCCCGGACCCGAGCTCGGCTGCAGCCAGGCGGGAGCTGCCCGAGGGCCGAGGATGGCCACGGCGCCCCGTGTGTGTGTGTCCAGAGCCGGGTGCGGCGGGGAGCCCTGTCCCTGTCGGTGCGGCGGGGAGCCCTGTCCCTGTCGGTGCGGCGGGGAGCCCTGTCCCTGTCGGTCCGGCGGGGTGGCCCGTTGGAACGGGAGCCCAGGTGAGCAGCAGCTGTGGAAGGAGAGGAGTCCTTGCATTGCCGGAGGCCTCTGGTCAGGCAGGCGCTGGGAGGAGCCTTTTGTTTGGCGCAGTGTTTTGGGTTGATCTTTGCACTCACGAGCCCCGCGTGCAGCTTTCTGTGTGAGATAGGCTGTGGCGAGTGTTCATCTTCTGGAAATCTTGGAATTTGCCAGGACTGAGAGCTGCACGGTCTTCCTGGCGTCTGGGACGGGAGCAGAGGTCCTCCCCCTGCGGGGAGGCGCTGGGCTTGGGCAGGTGCTGGAGGTCAGAACCAGCCGGAAGCCGGCCAGTGGCCTCTGTCTCACTTGGTAGCCGGGGTGACCCTAGTCCGAGCTATGTGGGTATTGCGGGGGAGGGGCAGCTGCATTTTTTGGGGTGTCCTGGCCTGGACCCACCACAGTGGCCACCAGATAGCTGTGTGGTAACAGGTGCTTCCCCATGGTGGATGGGTGCCCAGGCACTGGTGACAATCTGATGCTGGTGGAAGGGCCAGAAGTGCGGGCCTGGGCAGTGTCCCGCCGTAGGTAGCACTAGTGTCCTGCCCTCAAGGCTCACACCTGGCTGGGCCATGGTCTCAGGCCAAGGGGGCTGGGTGGTTCATGGCTTCTGTGGCACATAGTCGAGGATGGGGAGCTGTCTCACACACACACACACACAGCTGAGGATGGGGAGCTGTCTCACACAGAGCTGAGGATGGGGAGCTGTCTCTCTCTCTCTCTCACACACACACACACACACACACAGCTGAGGATGGGGAGCTGTCACACACAGGCAGGATCCCCCCAGGGCAGGACATGGAAGAACAGGGCAGCTCACAGCTGTTTGAGCGCCTGGCGGGAACCTTGGTCTCACCAACCTAGAGGTCACGGCAGCTGGTCAGATCCGACTGATTTGTTTTTTTCTAATGTTAAGTTTTTATTTAAAAGGGGAGGGAGGAAGGGAGAGAGAAAACACGGCTGAGCTTCTGCGTTGTTCCTTCCTGAAGGCCCCAAAGCAGAGCTTGCACTCAGGTTTGCTCAGCGCTGACCTCTGTCCTGTGCGGCTGCCCCAAGTTCTGGGCTCAGACGCTGTCTCCCTGCAGGCCTGTGCTGCTGCACCGGAGCGCCGTGCTCTGGGACCTGGGGCAGAGTGGCCAGGGGCACGAGGGAGAGCCGCCGGGGCCTGGCCTGGTCTGGGGCGCCTCAGCCTTCCTGCGTACTCTGGCATGGCTCTCAGATCCTCTGCTGCTCACAGTTTCTCATTTTACCTGTTGTTTGTACAGTGCAACTGAAAATTGAGAGAGTCCATTTTTTAAATTTATTTTTTACTTAAAAGCAAGAGTGATCTTTATCTGCTGGTTCACTCCCCGCCAGGCCCAGCTTGGAGCCTGGACCTTCCTCTGGCTCCCACGTGGGTGGAGACGCCCCGGCACGTGAGTCTGCCTTTCCCTCCCATCAGCAGGGAGCCGCTGGGACCGGAACTGGTGGCTTCCTTGATGTGGCACAGTGGTGCCCCTTGGAGTTAAACTTTTGAGGGGAAAAAACCTACTCACTTTGTCTTGACAAGCAGCAAGTCCACTGTCCCAGAACTGTGTCAGGTCTGTCATGTTGGTCTGGAGTGTGACCGTTGGGGACCTCAACCGGCAGGGTTAGGGGGCTTGGCCAGGTGCCCCCGTGGGCTCTGGGTTTGTCTGGGTGTCACCCATCAGCCGTCCGCGTGGATACTGTGCACCTGTGCGAGTGGACGCAGGCACGCCTAGCAGCGGAGGGCTGTGGAGGCCTACCCCGCTGTGCTCAGGTGCTTGTTTGGGTGTGCGGTTCATGTCCACGCAGGCTCTGGGTGTGATGTCTGTCCAGGACTGCCGTGGCACGCTCGTGGTTCCTGTGTGGGCGCTGCCCCCGCAGGGCAGAGGCCCCAGGTGTCCGTCTCTGCTCACAGCCCACTGTCTGCTCTTTCTCGTAGTCGTGGCGTTCCTGGTGGCTTTCCATCAGAACAAGGAGCTGATTGGGGACCGCGGGCTGCTGCCCTGCAGGCTGTACCTGAGCAGCATCCAGCGGCACTTCCAGGGCAGGCTCGGCTGGGACGCCTGGAGCTACGCGCCCACCATCTTCTGGCTGCTGGACTGGTCGGACACGAACACCCGCCTGGACGCTGTGGCCGTTCTCGGGCTGGGCATCTCGTCCTTCGTCCTGATAGCTGGCTGTGCCAACATGCTTCTCATGGCTACTCTCTGGGTCCTCTACCTGTCTTTGGTCAACGTGGGGCAGGTCTGGTGAGTAGGACTCGGCTGCTTCTGCCACAGCCTTGTCCCTGCGCAGCACCTGGGGAGGCCAGCCAGGCCTCTCAGAGCACGTGGGGCAATATCTGGGGGGCTGTTGGGGGCAGGGCTGTGCTCCTGGGTGCTCTGCCAGCTGCCCGGGCATGCAGGAGTGGAGGCTTCCAGTTCTGCCCTTGAGGAGGAGCCCACCTGCTCCTATAGGATGGGTAGGTGTCCCTGCAGGAGGGGGCGAGGCCCTGGAGGCCAGGGGCTCCCAAACAGTAGGCCTGCCTGGCCAGGGCAGCGAGTGAGGGGTGCCATGCTGTGAGCAGTCGCCTGCCGGGAGGACTCTGGAGACTGACAGTCCGAGAGGGGTTGGGGTGTTGGAATCTGTGTGGCGTGTATGGAGACAGTGGGACGTGGCTGTGGGGATGCTCAGCTGGCGCCTCCCGGAGCTGGGTCCTCTGGGCATGTGGTGGTCAGCTCAGCATCTCCTGGGTGGCCGGACCTGCCGGCGGACGTCTTGGGAAGTTCACGTGAACAAGGACAGCCTGAGCTGTGGACAAGTGTGAGCACTTGAGTCACTGCGTTGTTGCTGATTTCTCAGGGTGGCCTCTGCGCTGTGGCAGTACAGGGATCTGGGTGTCCCCCCAAGTGCTGGTCCTCAGTAGCTCAGCTTCCACCTGCCTGCCCTGTAGCCATGAGTGTGACGTCACGGTGGGCACCCTGCCCTATGTGGTCACCTGTGTGTGATGTCATAAGAGCTGCCATGTGTGGTCACCTGTGTGTGACGTCACGGTGGGCACCCTGCCCTGTGTATGCTTTGTTGCTGAGGCTCGGTGCTTTTTCTTTTCTGACATTTTTTTTTCCCAAATTGCAAAGTCAGATATATATATAGAGAGAGAGGAGGAGAGACAGAGAGGAAGATCTTCCATCTGATGGTTCACTCCCCAAGTGACCGCAACAGCTGGAGCTGAGCTGATCCAAAACTAGGAGCCAGGAACCTCTTCCGGGTCTCCCATACGGGTGCAGGGTCCCAAAGCCTTGGGCCGTCCTCGACTGCTTTCCCAGGCCACAGGCAGGGAGCTGGGAGGGAAGCAGGGCCGCCGGGACATGAGTTGACTCCCATATGGGATCTCTGTGCTTGCAAGGGGAAGATCAGTGAGTTGAGCCATTGCCTAGGCTCTAAACAAATCCTCAAAAAAAAAAAGAAGGAGAAGAAAGAACAAAGTTGGCAGCGGTTGTGCAACCTCACAGGCCTCATGCTCTGGCCGGGCTTCCTCCCTCACCATCCTCATGGGAGTTTGACTCATGTCATGTGAAGCCTTTTCCCCTAAGGTTGGTTTATTTGAAAGGCCAAATCACCTACAGATCCTGCCTCAGTTGGCTCATTCTCTGAACGGTGATGACAAGACACTCTTATTGTCTTCTGCTGTTTTTCCCACGCATGCTATTAGGGAGCTGGATTGGAAGTGGGATGGTGGGACTTAGACCTGGGCTCACCTGGGCTGCCAGCGTCACAGACATCAGCTCAAGCCACTGTGCCCCTCACCGGCCCCTCGAGTGCTCTTGAGACTGTCCCTGCCTGCCCCTCACCGACCCGGTAGCAATTTGGTGGCTGACCTGGGGTCCTGCAGGCTGTCGGCCACGTCTCAGGCCTCCTGGCTCTCTAAGTGTGTGGCGTGGATCTGGCTGGGGCTGGCTGGGGCCCCACTCTGAGCTGGCCTGACATTTCCCCAACCATCCTGATTCCTTCTGTTGCCAGCGCTCTCCTGGCTTGGCCTGCTGGAGGTAGCAGGAGGCCTTGAGTTTCCAGGATATGGTGTTAGTTAGCGTCTACACTGCAGGAAAGCCATGCTCTCCTCCACTGAATGCCAAGTCACTTTCCTTAGCCCCCGTGAGCCTGGCCTGCACAGCTCAAGGGCCCCATGGCTAGCCAAGCATTCTGGGCTCGGGTGGATGTCCCACAGTGGGCAGAGCTGGCGGCTCAGCCTGAACTGTCTGCCGCATCAGTTACCTGCGTGCCGTGTGTCTTTTGTCTTGCAGGTACTCATTCGGTAAGTGACAGCACTCCACCCTGTGGGAGCTTAGTGTGCGTGCTGGGTACGTATCTGTGTGCACTCTGGGCTTGCCAGGGGTGTGCTGTGTGGGCACGCACAGTCCTGACCGTGCAGGCCCTGTGCAGCCCCCAGCCCACTCAGTGGCAAATGGAGGGCGCACGTAGGGTGGGAGCAGGGTCCAGAGCCTCAGGAGCCCATGGGGGTGGGGCTTGTCTGGTGATGCATCTACAAACCCCTCTCCCTGGAGGCCATGGAGGGAGGTGGGCAGGCAGGTATTGTCTGTGGGGGCTACCCTTATGCCAGGCCGCCTGCTACGGACTCCTCACTTTCCCCTCAGCCCCATGCCCCCACCCTCCAGCCCTGAGGGTGCTGAGTAGCACAGACACGTCTGTGTGCCTCCAGCCCCCGCCAAGTCCGGCACCTGTGGAATGGGAAATCTGCATCAGCCCTGTTGGACACCAGCAGCTCGGCCGTTCACCTGCTGGCCAGCTACACGCTCCTTGTCCAGAACACGGGGCTGTGGGGCTGGGGCGGCACTGTGGGGTGTTGGTACACATTGCGCTTTCAGCAGAGGCTGAGCAGGGGGTTGCTGCAGGCCGTGTTCTCCCAGTTGGTCACGTGAGCTGTCAGTGGTTACTGGCTCAGCTGCCATGAAGCAAACCCAGTGAATACAACTAAGCAGTGCCCAAGGCTGCTCCAGCTGGCATGGGGGAGTCAGGGAGCTTGGATGTGAGGGTGAGCGGGAAAGAACGGGGGCAGTTTATGCGTGAGGGTGAGCACAGTGGCCTCAAATTACAGTTCACACAGCAGCTTTGTGTGCCCTGTTCTCTCATATATGTGCTGCGCTCATGTGTGTTGGCCTCACGTGTGTGTTGCCCTCATGTGTGCTTTTGAGTGCTTAAGCCCTAGAAGCATTTTCAGTCCCTGTGTCTCTTATCCTGATGGACTTGGGTGTGCAAATGGAAAGGAACCTGCTTGGTGCCCAGTGCTGACGCCATGGGCAAAAGGGCCATGCTGTCAGCCATGACGTGGAGAGCAGATACAGGGTTACTTGCTGCGGAGGGGCGCACAGCACAGGGGGCACAGAGTGTACAGGGGGCACAGCGTGTACAGGGGAGCTCAGGGTGTCAAGGGACATGCAAGGTGAACGGGGTGTGTCGGGTGTACACACACATGCAGGGTGTACAGGGTGTGTCGGGTGTACACACACATGCAGGGTGTACAGGGTGTGTCGGGTGTACACACACATGCAGGGTGTACAGGGTGTGTCGGGTGTACACACACATGCAGGGTGTACAGGGTGTGTCGGGTGTACACACACATGCAGGGTGAACGGGGTGTGTCGGGTGTACACACACATGCAGGGTGTACAGGGTGTGTCGGGTGTACACACACATGCAGGGTGTACAGGGTGTGTCGGGTGTACACACACATGCAGGGTGTACAGGGTGTGTCGGGTGTACACACACATGCAGGGTGTACGGGGTGTGTCGGGTGTACACACACATGCAGGGTGAACGGGGTGTGTCGGGTGTACACACACATGCAGGGTGTACAGGGTGTGTCGGGTGTACACACACATGCAGGGTGAACGGGGTGTGTTGGGTGTACACACATGTAGGGTGTTCGGGGTGTGTCGGGTGTACACACACATGCAGGGTGTGTGAGAGATGAGGCTTGGGAGGACACGTTTCCATCTGCTGGTTTGCTTCCAAGTGCACCTGTTGGGCTGGCCGAAGCCAGGAGCCCCACCGAGGTGCATGAGCAGGGAGCTGGGTCAGAAGCACGGTGGCCAGGGCTCCAACTGGCCCTTTATGAGGGGAGAGGGTGCCAGGGGTACACTTACCTGCTGTGCCACAACCTCCACCCCCATGCCTGCACACCCACCCTCCCATCCACCTGCCCACCAGCCACGTGCCCACCTACCTACCCTCATGCCCACACTCCACCCACTCACTCCCATGCTCAGACACCCCGCCGAGCCCCATGCTGGGACACCAATCTGCTTCGGCTCATGTTTGCTCTCTCCAGGTCTCTGGAATGCAGCACCTCAGATGGGGTCTCCACTGGGGACTCTGCTGCTGCAAGAGCAGTCACTGCAGGCTGGGAACCCTTGTAGCATCCTGTGCTGACCAAGGTCCTCCTAGGGCTGTGGCCGCACTGTGCAGCCTGCTTGTCCCCACCCACGTGCGGGCCTGGGTGGCCTGGTGCTTGCCATTCCGGGCAGGGCCCTCTGAGTGAGGCCTGGGAGGGGGGGGTGTACCTGGTCTCCCAGCACCCCATTATTGAGGGTGGGGATCTGTGCCAGCTAGCAAGAGGAATAGGCTGTGGCTCACCCTCGGACTGCTGGGCTGTGTCTTGTGAATGCTTGGATGTTTTGTTGAGGAGCCATGTTTTGTGGCTGTGACCGTGGTGGCTCTTGTTTGTGGACTCAGAGGAACAGTGCCTCAGCCACGCCTGGCCTCCTGTCCCTTGTACACTCTGTGCTGCTTGGACAGGCCGACAGGTCCTGCTTGCCATGTGGCACAGAAAGCCTGATGGTGTGTATGGCCCCAGCCACACCGGCGTGCCCCTCAGCCCTGGCCTTACTTGCTCACCTCTGGCGTGCACTCTGCTGAGGCTGTCCCCAGGGGCCTGAGCCTGGGCAGCTCGGTCACAGTGTGCGGCCCACAGAGGGCATGGCAGGACTCCAAGATGCTTCCATTTCCTGCAGACCAGGCAGCAGGTTCTCTGGAAAACCGGGAGACTTTGCTCCGGCCTCAGACTGGGTGAGACTCCCCAGCTAAGCTGCCCACTGTGTATGGTGGCTTGGTCACTGCTGGTGCCCCCAAGGACAGGAGTGGGCACTGTGGTCATACCTGCTCACAGTGGCCAGAGGACAGCTGAGGCCCATGGGTGTTGGAGGCCACCCTCCAAGCTCCATGCCCTGGGGCCATGCCCTCGCCCCGCAGGCCAGCATGGAGTGATGAGACCCAGGAGTAACCCGCCACTGCCCACGTGCCAGCCCTGAGAGTAACACCAGTCACCACCAGGGACAGGCTGGCCTGCTCCAGGTGACCTAGCACCTGAGCCCCAGGGGAAAATATGGCCTGCAGGACCTCTTGGCACCTGTGCTCAGAGCTGTGTGCCCCTGCCCTGAGCCCCAGTGCCTCGCAGGGGAGGCCAGCAAGTGTCCGTAACAGACCCTTGAAAGGCTGAGGCAGCTTCTGAGAATGGACCTCCCCACCCTGTTTGTCCATGTGAGGGGCAGCAGGCCCTTGCCCTCACAGCCATGTATGAAGCCACGTAGAGAGGCATTACCATGGGACCAGCACTGGGAGATGGTGGTTCTGGTGTGGGCTGGCCTGCGCGCTATAGCCGGGTGCTGGGCTCAGGCCTGCATTGTGCTGCTGGCGAGCTTGGGGACAGAGGTGGTGGCTCCGACCCTAGTGAGTGGGCTTCTGGGCTCCTGTAGTCATCCTGGTAGGTCACTGTTTCTATGTGTCTTAAACAGATGGGTTGGTATTGTGGAGTGGGCAGAGACAACCAGGTAGGCACCAGGTCAAGGCCTTGCTGCCCCACTGCCTGTCTGATTCCCGGCTAATGCACCTGGGAAGGCGGCAGGGCCGGCCAAGTGCTCCCCACAGGCGAGGCCTGCAAGAGGCTCTTGGCTCTGGTCTGGCTCAACACAGCCTGTTGTGGCAGTTTGGGGAGTGAACAGTGGACAGATCAGTCTGTTTCTTCTCTCTCCGACTCTGCAGACTCATAGAGCTCAGTCCCATGTCCTGTACCCAAGAAGCTCCGAGACACAGCACTGGCTGCCAGTGGGGGCCACCTGGGGCCAGCTGGCTCCTCGGCGTGGTCCACCCGCTCTGTGGTCACAAGGCCTCTATGTCCCCCAGTATGTGACGCTCCTAGTCTAGGGCCCTTCTCATGACCCTTACTGTAGGAGCAGTCCTGGCTGTGGGGCTCCCATGTCAGCCGTGTCTTGTGCTGCGTCATGGTTGGGCCGGGGTGCTGGGTTCTGGGAAGACGCCACAGAGGCAAGGGGACCCTCTTGACACCATGGTGGGTGTGTGGTGGCCACATGACCTGCTGGTCCTCTGGCCAAGATGTATATGCCAGCTGTCCCCTCTGGGGCCGTGACTGTCCCCCCCATTCCCCCTCAGAAGCTGGCCACTGAGCCTGGTCCACCTCCTAGAGGCCAGCTTGTGAAAACCACATGGTTGTTTTGGGGGTATAGGGGACAGCAAGGGTACTGTCCGGGCGCTGCCTGTGGGGTTGCTGTTGGCTGTGTGGCAATTCTGGCCTCCTCCGTGGAGTGCTCTGGGGGGAGCTGTGGTCCCAGGGGTTTACCAGAACTGGACTGTGGGCTCAGAGCCAGTGCTGCCCTGAACCAGGTTGTCCCCCCAAGCCCTGACGGCTCGGCCGGTCACTGCTGCTTGGCTTCGGGGTGGGCAGGGTTGGCAGGACCACGGGGCTTGTGGACCTGTGCTGCACCAAGAACCTGCCCTGGTATTCGGTGCCCATGAGGAGGGGCAAGTCCTCTGCTGGAGAGCTCCATCTCCTGGTGCACTGCAGCTCAGAAGCCACACGAGTCCCGCGTTTCCCAGCTCTTTGCTGTGGAAGGTTCTGTAGAGGACAGTAAACTGTACTTACCAAGCAGAGTCCACAGAAACTCCAGCATTGACCTTGTTACTTTGACAGGTGACACAGACAGCACCCCGGGTGTGCCCGTATCCCACATGGCATGGTTACCCAGGTCTGACCACACCACACACTGACATCAGCTACCCAAGGTTTAAGTGTGTTGCACAGGGCAGAGCTGTGATCCTAAGGTGTTCGCCATGCCAGGTGAGAGCGCAGTGTGTGGGCCCTGCGGGGAGAGCAGCAGTTCAGTGGGCAGGGCAGGACAGGCAGGGCACCTCAGCACCCAGGACTGGACACCTCAGCACCCAGGACTGGGCAGGTCTGGGCACCTCTCCAGCACCCAGGACAGGGTAGGACTGGGCACCTCAGCACCCAGGACTGGGCACCTCTCCAGCATCCAGGACTGGGCAGGACTGGGCACCTCTCCAGCACCCAGGGCAGGACAGGGCACCTCTCCAGCACCCAGGACAGGGCAGAGCAGCTCCCTCGGCGTCTCCTCAGTCCAGGGTCTGTGTGGCCCATCTGGGCAGTGAGATGAGTAAGGTCTTCCTATGGTGGCTGTAGACCCAGTGGCCAGTGGCCATTGCCCATGACACGGAGCTGCTCATCTGGGGAGGGAGATTCCAAGTGTTGGACCACAGCCCATTTCCAGCTCGTCCACATCCTTTGCACTGCCAGGGACTCAAAATGTCCCAAGGCTAGAGCCCTGGGGCAGAGCCCCTGGAGAAGGTGTCTTTGCAAGGCTCAAGGGAAGCTACGGTGGAAAGACGGGTCTTGGGACAGTGTGGTCCCTAAAGTCAGGGACCTGTGCAGGGGCTTGGTTCTTCATGGTGCTGGGCTCTGGGCGGGCAGCGCCCAGTGTCATGGGCCTCAATGGCTCGTAGGTCGGCAGAGGCTGCTCCTCCAGCCAGCAGCCCCTGACCGTGTCAGCAGGAGTGCGGAAGTTCTGGTAGGCTAGCTCGTAACTTCATACTGAAATGCAGCCTGCAAAAATGAAGAGGACTTGTGAAAGCTCGGGCTCTCTCCTGGGCCATCATCAGAGGCCCCCAGGGGCAGCGGGAGCAGCTTGGGGTGACAGCCAAGGAGGGCATGCCTGCTTCTGCTCCTGGTGCTAATGGAGTTAATGGATTTCCTGTTTCTGGTGGATGGCGGCTGTCACTTCTGAGGGATCCATCTGTCCTGTATTGACTCACTCCTGAGTCGCTGATGCGCCGTTGGGGTGCTTCCTGTCTTGCCAACCCCCCACCCGCTCCTCTGAGGCTGCGCCCACCTTCATCCTGGGTCTTGGCCCCAGCTCTCCCAGCCCCGTGCCACCTCACCCTGGGAGCCTTGGCCACAGGGAACTGCCTGCCACTTAGGCCCCCGGCCCTGGTCCCTTTGGCCTGGAACAAGGGCCCTGGCGCTCTGCCACCTAGCTCTTTCCTCATGCAGTGCCACCACCTGTTATCTTAGGACCCCAGTTTGTGTCAGCCCTGCCCCATCTCCCTGTGGTGCTCTCCACCTGCCTGCTACCCGCAGGGTCCCTTGGCTACCCTGTGCTCCAGCCGTGGGTGCCCCCTCTCCCTGACGCCTGCCTCAGGAGGCAGCCGTGAGCAGCCTTCTGTGGTTGTGGTACTGCCTGTGACTGCTGGGCTCTGGGAGCCTGGACGAGGGAGAAGTGTCTCCAGCTGTTGGCCTGGCCTGCCCCCACGGGCACCCTGTCCAGGACCTCCTCTCGGCCGTGCAGCAGCAACCCTGCGGAACTGGATCCAGCCGAGGCTTCCATCGGAGCTGCAGGCCGTCTCCTGCAGGACCCGGCCCGGGGAGCCACAGATCTGGTGCTGGGTGCCTGCCGCGGGCTCAGGGAGCCATCTGTGCTCGGAGATCAAGTGGTGTGACACACCTTGTAGTGTTAGCTTGCAGAGTCGTTTGCGGACTCAGGGTGTGGAGGAGAGGAGGATGGAGCCGGAACGGGGTCAGTGCGTGTGCAGGCTCTCGGACCTGCGGTTGGATGTTGGGCCTCGTGTTGTAGAGCGGGACGGTGAGGCCTGGGCCCGCAGGGCCGGAGGCTGCCCTCCCTCTGGTGTCTGGCTGGACAGTAGATTCCTCTGCTTTTTCTCGTGGTCCCCAGGGTGGCCCTGGCATGGACTGTGCATGCTCATCTGTGGTCCTCGGTGCACTGTCGTTTGAGAAGAAAGCACGCCTCCTGGGGAGGGAGGGGCGTGTGCCCTGCCATTCGTTTCTTCTCCAGTGCATGTTGCCTGCTGGGCTCAGCCCCGGGGGCCAGGGGCTGAGGGCCTGGGGGTGCCGGCCAGACAGCACCTCGGCTCAACCCACTGCCCATTGTTTGGAGCATGTGTGTATAACCAGGAGTCCTGCAGTGCCATGGAGCTTTCAGCCAGTGGGCTTTGACACCTGTCGGTGAGGTGGCTGTATGTGTGGCTCTGATGTGGCCGGGCCTGGATTTCGGGTTTCATTTGTTCTGAGGACTCTGGGGCACTCTGTGTTCAAGCCCCTCCTGCAGCGGCACATGAACGGTCAGACATGCTCAAGGGAGAGGCACAGCACTCAGCATTGTGGGAACAGACAGCGGCACAGCACTCAGCATTGTGGGAACAGACAGCGGCACAGCGCTCGGCATCGTGGGAGCAGACAGCGGCACAGACATGCAGATCTAGAGCTGGCCTTGACACAGGCCTGTCCACCCTGTGCTGTCCACACGTCATATGCTGGGCACCAGTGGCCTCTTCCTGGTGGACAGCAGGGAGCCCAGGCGCCTCCTGAGCTGCCGGCACCAGGGGAACAAGGAATGAGAGCCAGGCATGGCGTGTCCCCGGAATGGCCTTCTGTCTGGCAAGCAGGTAGTGACCCTGTGACATGCTTTGTCCATAGTCACCAACCTCACCCATTGGCACCAGGCCCCCTAGACAAGAACAGTCTGACGCCTTCCCTGTCGTGGCTGCCGTCCCTGGCAGGAGCTGCTGTTTCTGAGGCCCCATGCTCTGCCTCTCTGGCAAACAATGGCGCCTTGTGTGCTCCGCACAGCTGCTGGGAGCCACACGGGCCAGCAGAGAGGGCTGCCAGGTGGGCCTGGCCCCCTTTCCCTCCCGGAGTGTGTTCCAGGCTGCGGCTGCTCCGGGAGCTGCTTGTAGTGCCTGCTGCTGTGTCCAGCCAGGGTGAGGGCTGTTGCATCCACTGGGAGGGGAGCCAGGGGGTGCCGGCTGCAGCCCTTCCCCTAGCTGGGCTCCTTCAATGTGTGTCCGGCACCGTGTCCACTCCTAACCTCCGTGCAGGTTGACAGGCAGCTCTGGGCCTCTGGGGGCTCGGTGAGGTGCTGCGTGGGGCAGTGCTGGCAGCCTTGCCTCCCCGTGCGTTCCTGTGGCCTGCTCACGGCTGTCCTGCCTGCAGCTGGGGGTCACAGCCCATGTTCCCTGGTGGAGAAGCCCAAGGCCGTACGTGCCAGCCACTTCCTGTTAGGTAGAGTCTGGGGGGTTGCGTGTGTCCTGTGGGAAGCAGTGCAGACTCTCCGGCCAAGACCGAGGCTGGCGAGAGACACAGCCCACAACTGCCCAGTTTGGTGCAAGCTGTGGCGCCAAAATCTTGTTCCCTCTGGTGGGCCTTCTGGTTGGGCTCTGACCCTGCAGAACTCCAAGGGAAATGGGCCGGCCAAGAGGTCTCCGTGCTGTCCCCGGGTGCCTGTGTGTCACAGGAGTCCTCTGGGGTGTCCTGCCCTGCCTGCCCACCCTGTCTGGCTCTCTACTCCATGAATAGGTTGTGCAGATCCCTACCTGCAAACTTGTGTGGGCACCACCCCCTGCCTGGCACACCTTCCCACGTGTCTTGGGGCTGAGGTGCAGGTACCCCTTCAGCATGGCAGCTGCTGCCCTCCTGCCAGGTACCCCGCGGTCCTCTTGCCAGGAGATCCATTTGCTGTCTGCAGTCGCCACCTGTAGGGGGCGCTCTAGTGCTTTCCCCGCCTGAAGGCATGTGCCCACACAGGCCCCTCTGTGAATACAGCCGTGGTGAATGGTGTCCACTCGGTGTGGTCAGAGTCTTGTCCCTGTAGTGCCCACAAAGCCCACGGGGTGGCCTGGCCCTGAGCTGTGTGCCCTGTGGTGCCCGTACCTGGAACAGCCTAGACGCTTCTGGTGCCTGGGCATGGGCTCCACAAATGGCAACCTTGTGAGCTACTTCCTGGTCTTAGTGCCCCCGTCATGGCTGCCTCTCGCGGTGTCTGCGCATGCTGTCCACCTGTCACGCCCGGAGCAGGCCAGCCCTCAGTGTGGCCCCCTTTCCTGGCTCTGCACCCCCGAGCGCTACGCACAGCTCCCTGGCGGCGGCCTTCCTGTCTGGGGCTGGGTGGGCTGCGTCGCATCTGCCACTTGTTTTCTTTGAAGGCCCTGGCTCTGACACCGCTCTCTGTCTCTTCCTGTCGCCACTGCAGGGTGGGAATCCCAACTGCTAGAAACAGGCTTCCTGGGGATTTTCCTGTGCCCTCTCTGGACGCTGGCCCGGCTGCCTGAGTCCACCCCCACATCCCGTATCGTCCTCTGGGGCTTCCGGTGGCTCATTTTCAGGATCATGCTTGGAGCGGTAAGTAGCATTTCTCTCTCAGAGCTCAATTCCTTGAGTAGGGCCCCACAGCCTAACACTGTGCTGGCTCCCTTGGAGCTGACCCACCCTGGGGCCCGGCCATCACCTTTGAACTGAACTCTCACCTGCTTTTCTGTGGGAACAAGTGCAGCTTTGAGTCCATGCACCAGGATCGAGTGACAGGCCACTGGGCTCTGTCACAGGGTCACAAGCATCCAGAACTTTCCAAAGTTGAGACCAAAGTGGGCCTTGGACATCGCTCTGGTGAATGGACGGCTGTGGTGTAAGGATGCCCATGCCTGGTGCGTTCTTGCACCTGAGGGGCCGTGCTGCCCGCCGCCTGCCCATCTCCATCTGTGTCCATCTGCCTGCCCGCCTGTTGTGGACGTCCTGGGAGGGCACGTCCAGGCAGGACTGCTAGGAGATGTTGAGAACACCCGGCCGTGAGCCTGCTCCGGGGTCCCTGCGGGTGCCTCGGCTGGCCTGTGCATGGCCAGTGTTGGCAGGACTGCAGGGAAGGCCCCCATGTGCTGGGGGAGCTGGGGGTTCTCAAGGGTGCAGTGTGAGGCCTGGCAAAGCCGCAGGGGGGTACATCACTCAGGTTTGGTGAGGCCTGGCCTTGCAGTGGTGACCACCCCTGTCCCTGTGCTGACCACGAGGCTCCTGCTTCGGGTGCTTCAGTTGTCTGGCTACCGTCCCGCCCGTGTGACATGTCAGGGCTTCCTGGAGTCCTGGGGCAGGCTGGAAACTATGGGGGACCAGGTTTGGGGTCAGAAGGGTGCATAGGCCATGCTGGGAGGGTCCTGGGCAGACACCAAGGCAGCGTGGAGCTTCAGGCTTGCCTCATGTGTCAGGTGGTGATGTGAGCCTGGCCCACGCCATGGGCGACAGGGGAGCAGCGCAGGTCCCTGGCTGAAATCAGGCCCTGTCGTTCTCCATGCTGGCTCAGGTTTTAGAATGCCATGCTCTGTGGAGGTGGACCCTGCACAACTCCAGACAGGCGTGCCCACCCGTGGACACCTCTGGGATGTCGCAGCCTGCAGTGTTCAGTGACCAGAGGGCCGGGGCACCTGTTGGCACCACAGGCTGTCATCTCAGGAGCAACACGCAGTGTGTAGTTGGGGAGAAGCAGCTGCGATTGTGCAGGAAACCCAGGGCTGTGGCATCCAGGCCACCTCTGCCTGGAGCCCAGGGTGCTGGGGCTGGCCTGGGGTCCCGCGCCAAGGAAAAGACAAGACCACTGCAGCCTAGCAGGTGGCTGGCCCCAGCTGTAGGGGCCGGGGCTGCCCTGTGAGCTGTCCACATGGGCACATTCCAGCACAGCACCTGCTGGGGATGCGATGGGCCACAGGAGGTCCCGAGCAGGGTGTATAGCGGGGGTGCTGGACAGGACCGTGCCGGGAGGTCCTGAGGAGGGGTGCAGTGGGAAGCAGCCACCTGAGCCCCACAGAGCCAAATGCCGGCCCAGTCACTCCCTCGGGATGGCACGTCTGCCTCGTGGTCTGACTTGGTCGTCTTGCAGGAAGGGTCATCTTCCCATCCCTGTCCGCTCAACATGTCTCAGCATGCTGACTTTTGCCTGCAGCCCCCTGTGCTGTGCCCCCAGACCACCCTCCTCAGCAGCCCTGTCCCCCTAACCCAAGGCAGGAGGAGGGCCCCCCCGAGCCTCTCCTCCCTTTGTCTCTGGCCCACAACCCTCGGCAGAGCCCCTGCCATTGTGCAGGGTGTCATGGTAATTCTCTAGGGGCTCCGGTGGCCCCCATCTCACATGCCTATGGGTTTCTGTCCACGTGTCCCCTCTGCTATGGGACCAGCGCTGCCTGCCTCTGTCGGCCTTGGACATCAGCTCTGTGCAGAGCGGGGCGGGTGCCAGTGCATGCGGAGCAAGGCGGGCCCTGCTGTTACAGCCGCTCCTGAGGCTATGGGCAATCACGTCCTGGTGATGGGTGACCGGGGCTGGGTGTGGCCATTGGCTGTGACAGACGGCGGGGAGCCATGCACAAAAGAGAGGCAGATGGGTCTTTGCCGAAAGACCCTGCTAGCTGGTGTTGCTAGGCAGTGTCACCGGCATGGGCTGGCAGTGGTGCTGGGGTCCCTGACACACCATGGACTGGTGTTTTCCACGGTCACCTGCAGCCTATCCGTGGCCACATTCCTGGTGCTGGGAGCAGCACTCAGCTGCCCCACAGCTCCTGTTCTGGAGGAGGGTGGGAGAGTGGAGCTGCCATGTTCCCAGCCGTGGGGGCCCATGCAGTGCTGGGTTCTGGGTGCCCCCACTCCTAGCAGCAGATCTCTCCCAGGGGCTGGCATGGGCTGGCCTGTGTGGACATGTCCTGGGCACAGAGCAGGAGGGGCCAGCAGGGCCTGTGGGTCTTGAGAGAAACTTGGTGCTGTGCCCAGGTGGCCATCGCCTGCACACCAGGACACACGTCCACTCAGTCTCGGCTCCTGGATAAGCAAGACGGCCCTGCTAGGACCAGCCTGGAATCCTGAGACCCCCCCGTCCCTGCACTGGCAGACGGGCCCTTCCTGACTTGCCCCCAGTGCAAAGGTGCACTGTTGGTGAGGCCTGAGAACTGAGTGAGGGCAGCCCCTCCGTGGTATCCCCCACCATGTTACCATCGCGCCTGTGGTCTTGGGGGGACAGGGAACAAGGGGTGTGGGGAGCTTCCTGGCCGGCAAGGCCTCTCAGGACCCAAGCAGGGACAGCCGCAGAGCCTCTGTGTGCCAGTGGAGGTCCTGTCGCCATGTGCAGGAGCAGGCCCCAGGCGCATCTGACGGCATGTGCGCCCGCTCCCCAGACGCTTCTCTGTAGGCCCTGAATGTCCTGACGAGCAGGGATGTGTGGCAGCTGTGCGTCCCGGGGCCTTCAGGTCTGGCTTCTTACTGGCCTGTGTGTGCCTTTTTTTTTTTTTTTTTTTTTTGCATTAATTTTGGGCTGAGAAAGGCTCAAAGAATGCTTTGTTCCTTTACACTTATTCTGAAAGAAAAAAACTCCGTAGAAAACCTGATGCCTGCGATGAGAGGGCAATCACTGCTGAACGGCGGTTCGGGTTTGAGTGTCTCTTGTGGGCGTAGGATTTGAATGACATTTTAATTATTTTTTTTCTCCCTTCCTGAGGGCGGTGGGAGCTGACTGGCGCCCAGGAGGGGCGACGGTCTGGAGCTCCCTTCATTTCTTAGGTTGATTGATTTACTCAGAAGGCAAAGTTACAGAGGTCGATGTTCGTCTGCTGGTTTACTCCTCAGATGGCCACATCACAGCAGCTGAGCTGACCCAAAGCCAGGAGCCAGGAGCTTTTGACATGGTGCAGGGCCCCAAGGCTTTGGGCCATCCTGCACTGCTGTCCCAGGCCACAAGCAGGGAGCTGGATGGGAAGTGGAGCAGCCGGGACATGAATTGGCGCTCATATGGGATGCTGGTGCCGCAGGCAGCAACTTTATCCACCACACCACAGTGCTGGCCCCTCCCTGTGCCTCTGGGATCCACACAGGTCCCCTTTGCAGGACGTGACCCTTCTGCTCCCCATGCTGCTGGGGACTGCAGGGACCAGCTGGGGACAGCCCTCCATGTGTGCACGTCACCCTAGGGCTGCAAGACGCCATGCCCAGCGTTCCTGCAGGAAGACTCCCTAGGACTCACCTAGGCTGGCTCCCTTGCTGCCAGGTTGTACCCAGGGTCCAGGCCTGTGGGCTGTGTACCCCTCCAGATCTCACACTCCCATCCCTGACTCCTGGGGGTGCCACCTCCCAACCTTCCTACACTGGGCACATCCCTTCTCCCACACAGTCTGCCTTGCTCAGCAGCCTGCCCAGGTGGGTGCCCTGATGAGCAGGACAACCCAGGGGGACCCCTCATCCCTTCTGAGCGATCAAGGGCTTCCGTGCACCATGCCAGCAGCCCCATCCACCCCTGTCCTCTGCCCCCAAGGCCATGGCCTCCTCTTAGTGCACCTGTTCCTGGGGCCTCAGCTGGTGTCTGCCGGACAGGGGTGGCCGTGTCAGTAAGCATCTGAATGAAGACTGGCGGATGGATGACTGGACAGGTGGACTGTCCTGGGGGACCTGCCTGGCCATGTGTAGCTGCAAGAGGCCCTCTGGCCAGGGAGGGCTGGACTTTTGTCGTTCTGTCAGGGCAGTTTCTGCGTGTTGGGCCATACAGTCCTGGCAAAGGTGGCGTGTCGCTCACTCAGGCTGCCAGTGACTGGGAGGAAATAGAGCCACCCTCCCCTGGGTGCTACGGCCAAGGCTGCTGAGCATGCGCCGAGGGTGGACCGTGCAGCAGCCCCTCCCTGCCTGCTCACCGCCCACACCAGCAGCTCCATCGGCATTCATCACCTCCGGAGGCGAGAACTAGCCAAGCCATGCTCAGCAACAGGCCACGACAGGGAGAGACACTGCCCTGCCTGGGTCCCTGTGGCCCTGTGTGCAACAGCCATGACGTGGGCTGGGGGCTGTTCCCTGGGGAGGGTGTTGAAAATCGCCACTTGTGTGTGTGTGAGAGTCACCCTGTGTGTGTCACCCCTTGTGTATGTGAGCCATTCTGTGTGTGTGTGTGAGTCACCTTGTCCATGCGCCTGTCCATGCTCCTGTCCGTGTGCTCCTGTCCGTGTGTGCCTGTCCGTGCTGCTTTCAGGCACACTGCAGCCATCATCAGCAAAAGAGGCTCAAGCATGCCCTGGTGAAGCTCTGTTGGGATTCTTCCTGATTTTGTGTGTGACGTGGTTTTTGCCCTTCGTGGTTCTGGGAGACTCAGCTGCCTGGCCCCTTTGTGCCGAGCCCTTCTGAGTCTGTGTGGACCTGGGAGCTGGGCCCTGGCTGTCCTGGGCCTCATGCCATCCTTGCCTTCTTGCCTTGGCAGGGGCTGATCAAGATCCGTGGGGACCAGTGCTGGCATGACCTCAGCTGCATGGACTTCCACTATGAGGTAACAGCCGCCGACTCCGCCAGCTCCCCTGGTCCTGCTGGGGTCGTCCTTCTTCCCTTCTCTGGCCTGTGGGTGCTGCAGGTTGGCTGTGCAGTCCGCTGGGCCAGGCTGGGCCCCTGGCTGGAGTTGCAGCCCTTGGGTGCCCTCCTGGGGCAGGTGCAGGCTCAAGCCTTCCGTCACCTGAGCTCAAGGGCACAGCATCCCCTGGAGGGGAATGCCCCAGGACAGCAGGGTTCTGCTGTGCCGCCCTCTCCCCTGCAGCCCAGAGCTGGTTCAGATCGTGTCCATGCAGACAGTGCCAGTGCTGCCCTGGGCCTCTCCCTGCACCAGCCACTCTGTGTCCATGCTGCAGGCAGTACTTGCCTGTGGGCCCACGTCACAGGAGCTGTGCATGCGTGGCCAGCCTCACGGGCCATCTCCACACCTGTGGGCCCACATCATAGGAGCCGTGCATGCGTGGCCAGCCTCACGGGCCATCTCCACACCGTAGGCCCGCGTGATGCTTGGCCCCCACATGGCCCATCTTCTTGCCTCTGTGCTCTGGGGTCCTGAGCTGGCTTCGTGGTGGCCCATATGCTGTGACACTCGCCCACCCTAAGCCCGAGTGTTGGTTGCCCTGGGCTTGGCTGGAGCCAGGAGCAGGTGGGGGGGGTTCGCTTGGAGGGACACAGAGGATGTAGGGCATCTCTGAGCACAGAGTACACCTCTCTTCCATCTTGGCCTTGAACTTGGCTACCAGGCAGGGAGCGATAAGGCCATCAGAGCCCAAGGGCCAAGCCAGTGGCCCCTACCCACACGCTCCTGCGTCAGCCCCGCCTCTGACTCCAGCCTGGCAGGCACTTGTGGCGTGCAGGAGTCCTGCCCATTGCACAGTCTGCACTCACAGGCTGGGGCCTGTGCCCGTCGGGGGCAGCAGGAACTCTGGCCAGTTGGTATTCATCTCCTGGCTCCTCGGCAAAGCCAGGCTGCCTGCCCTGACCCCACAGACAGTAACAGCTGCAGGCTGGCACTGTCCTGGGGACATGGCAAGCCCACCGCTGGCTGTGTGGGGCACCCTCCTGTACATGTCCCTGGCCTGGGACAGCTCCTACCCTCTGTCCTGCAGACCCAGCCAGTGCCCAACCCCCTGGCCTACTTCCTGCACCGCTCACCCTGGTGGTTCCACCGCTTTGAGGTGCTCAGCAACCACTTCGTGGAGCTCCTGGTCCCCTTCTTCATCTTCCTGGGGCGTCGCATGTGCCTCCTGCATGGGGCCCTGCAGGTTCTCTTCCAGGTGGGTGCCATGCCAGGCTGGCCTTGCCAGCTCCAAGCCTGGCTGTCTCTGTCCAGGGTGCAGAGCCCGGGCTGCAGTGGGAAGGGTGTCCTTGATGACCATGGTCCCCTGGCACCTGTGCTGCTGGGGAGATGCCCTCAGGGCCGCCCAAGAGTAGAGACACTGCTTACCTTTCTATATGGGCTCTCTGCTTGGACCAGCACTCTTTTGTTTTTTTTTTTTTTTTTTTCAAGTTTATTTTTAATTTATTTGAAAGAGACACACACAGTGGTGAACCAGTTAACTCTTCCATCTACTGGTTCTTTATACAAATGGCTGTAACAGCCAGAGCCGGGCTGTGTAGGTCGGCCTCCGCTGCCTGCCCGGCCGTTAGCAGTGAGGCAGATTGGAAGTATTCGGAACACAAACTGGTGCCCATATGGAAGGCTGGCATTGCAGCTGGCAGCTTAACCTGCTGCGTCCCAGGCCAGTCTCTGCTTATGGCCACGTGGCTGATCCATATGCCTCTGCTGTGTGGGTGCAGGCCAGGCAGGAGGCTGTGAGCACAGCACTGCCTGGATGCCACAGGGTGTCTGCTGCTGATACGGCCATGGTCCCCCGAGCCAAGTGTACTTTCCCTATGACCGAGTGGCTTCCTCCCTGAGACTGACTGGCACAGCACGTGGGAGGGCAGCTGTGTTGTCATGGGTGTGGGGATGGGACTCCTCTTCAAGGCCCAGTGCTCCCCCGGCCACATCGGGCTCGGCATGCGCTGAAGGCTGCCATCTTTCCATGCCCTGCCACCTGTCTGTAGGAGCAGCTCACAGCCGCCGGGAGCCCCGTGTGTGTGTGCGTCCTCAGGGACTGGTCCCCTGTGACAGCGTGCTGTCGCGAGGCATGCCCTTCTGCAGGTCCTCCTCTGGGCTTGTCCACTGGCTCACCTGCAGGAGGCCCAGGGCAGGGCAGTGGGCGGCCCAGGAGCACTTCCCCTGCGGGGACCCTGGGTCTCACCACCCCCACCTGGGTTGGCGTCCATGTGCCTGGCCTAGCCCCTGTCCAGGCCTGCCCAATGGACACCGCTCCCGCAGGTGGCCCTCATCTGCAGTGGGAACCTAAGCTTCCTCAACTGGCTGACCATCGTGCCCAGCCTGGCCTGCTTCGATGACGCCGCACTCGCAGCCCTGTGGCCCTCGGCGCCTGGCGGCCTGCGGGACCAAGTCCTGAAGCGGCAGCAGCAGGAAGCCCTTGGGGTCCAGCCGCCCGCCTACGGCCGCCGGGTGCGGGGAGCTGTCAACGTGGCGCTGGGTGTGCTCCTGGCCTGGCTCAGCATTCCCGTGGTCCTCAACTTGCTCAGCTCCAGGCAGGTCATGAACACATCCTTCCACCCCCTCCGCATCGTCAACACCTATGGAGCCTTCGGCAGGTATGGGCCTGGCAAGCCGGGGTCTGCCAGGGCTCGGGCCTGCCCCTGCCTGCCCCAGGGTCCAGGTGTGCAGGACAGTGTGTGGGGTGCGAGGTCTTCTAGAGCCCAGGTGCCAGCTGGAGTTGGCTGGCAAGGGAGGAAGGACCTGGTCCTGTGTGTATGTGGGGAGGGGTGACTGCTCCCGGGGTGTGGGCTGGGGGACCCCCAGCCTGGCCCTGAGGGTGTCAGGAAGTGGTGGGCACTGGCCAGTCTGCCACGGGCATCCCCTGTGAGACCCAGGCTGAGCTGGAGTCAGGTTAGGCGCAGCCTGCTGGGCTGGGGGCTCCCACTGGCTGCACCCCCATCTCCTTCCCTTACTTTTGGGGTATCTTGTGTGGCAGTCTCTGCTGGCTGGTGTAGAGACCCCATTTGTGGAGTCGGGGTCAGTCCCCAGCCCCGCGTGACCATCAACATGAGACCATGGGATTCCGGAGGCCGACCTGACCTGAGGGGGAGGGTGTGCAGGCCGGGCAGAGTGCAGGCCCAACTGGGTCGGTAGGGAGAGGTCTTCTATTCGCTCACTCCCCAAGTGGCTGCAACAGCCTCAACTGAGCTGATCTGAAGCCAAGAAGCCGAGGGACCCCCCCCCCCTTGCCCCCATGGGCCTGGTGGTGAGCCCACCGTGCGTGTCACTGCACGAGGTCCCTGGGCTTCCAAGAGTGTGGACAGGGTCACCTCAGTGAGCCCGGCCCTCCCTGAGGCTGGGGTGCAGCTGGCCAGGTCGAGGGGCCTGGCTCCAGGCTTGTCCAGAGAGCAGCCTCTCGGGAGGTGGGGTGCTGGTGCTTGGTCGAGGCCTGGCCTGCTCCCACCCTGACCTTGAGCCCGGGATCCCGGTTCCTGGGGGCACCTCAGCATCTGACCTGCATCCCCTAAGTGTCACCAAGGAGCGCACGGAGGTAGTCCTGCAGGGCACTGCGCACCCCAACGCCAGTGCCCCCGACGCACACTGGGAGGAGTTTGAATTCAAATGCAAGCCAGGGGAGCCCCGGCGCCGGCCCTGCCTCATCTCCCCATACCACTACCGCCTCGACTGGCTCATGTGGTTTGCGGCCTTCCAGGTGAGGGCAGGCTCTGGGCCACGCTGTCCGTGAGGTCGGTGGGCAGCAGGCACCTGAAGAAAGGGGGTGCAGTCCCCCAGAGCCTAGGACATAGCCACCTCCACTCATCTCCCCTAGACCTACGAACAGAACGAGTGGATCTTGCACCTGGCGGGTAAGCTGCTGGCTGGCGACACCGAGGCCCTTTCCCTGCTGGCACACAGCCCCTTCACGGGCAGGAAGGCTCCCAGGTAAGGCCCCTCCCTGGCAGAGGCCAACCCCCCGTGGCCGAGGATGTGAGAGGAACATGGGGTGGTGCTGGCCAGGGCAGTGTCCCCCCCATGAGCCCCAGGGCACTTGCTCCCGAGGCATGGCCAGCATTAATGCTGGGCACCCTGCGCAGTGAGGGAGAGGATCTGGGAGAAGCAAGGATGAGCGGAGATGTGTCAGAGATCAGACGGCCGCCATGCCTGGAGCTGAGCTGATCCAGAGCCAGGAGCCGGCAGCTTCCTCCGGGTCCTGAAGACTTGGGCTGTTAACAGAGCTGGACGGGAAGTGGGGCAGCTTGGACAGGAACTGGCGCCCCTGGGGCATGCTGGTGCCGCAGGTGGAGGATTGGCATGCTGCACCATGGCTGGCCTCCCTGCTAACGTGCAGCTTTGGGGACAGGTGATGGACCAAGTCCTTGGGCCCTCGCACGCCACGGGAGACCCAGAAGAGGCTCTTGGCTGTTGTGGGTGTCTGGGGAAGCCTTCCCGGGGAGCTCTCTGGGACAACCCTGAATGCCCATCTAAGGTCCTGTCTCGGATGGCGCATGCCCAGGGAACAGGCTTCTCTGCGGGCCACTCGCTGGCTGGCTCCCGAGGGAGGAGGGCCAGGCCTGTGAGCCTCGGGACAGCAGATCCCGGGCTGACTGCTTCTCCCACAGGTGGGTGCGTGGCGAGCACTACCGGTACCGGTTTAGCCGCCCGGGCGGTCGGCACGCCGCGGAGGGCGCATGGTGGGTGCGCAAGAGGATCGGGGCCTACTTCCCACCACTGCGCCTGGAGGACCTCAGGGGCTACTTCAGGGCCCGCGAGTGGCCGTTCCCAGAGCCGGTACCCCCGCACGCGTGACAACGGGCATCGAGTGGACACTGTCAGCTGAGGACAGGGAGCAGGAGGGGCGCGGCGTCCGTGTCCTCGACCACCCCCAGCCCATCACCCACTTGGCCTGCAGGCATTTCCTGCAGCGGGAACAGGACCTGCTGCAGATGCTCACCGACCACGCGTGCTTTTATTCCTGCAATGCCTGCCCCTGCCCGTCTGTGGGGACACCATGGCCACGGGGCACAGCCCCATCTGTGCAGAGCCCAGGTGCAGACACAGGGACGGAGTTCCGGCGCGGGGAACAGGGGCCCTGTGTGTCAGGGACAGACGGGCTCTGAGCCCAGCCCTGCGCGGCTGTCTGCTGGGCTGCACCCCCCGGGGGACCCTGGGAGCAAGCCAAGCCCCACTTAGCACCAGCCTGAGTGGGGACATAGGCAAGGGTGCCCAGGACGTCCTCCACTGGCCCTGTCCTCCAGTCACCCCTCAGGCGGGCGGGTGCTGGTGGCCTCAGCTGTCAGGGCAGGAAACGGGCCCCTCACGCTGGCAGGCCCCCCAGCCTCTGCCCCCCACAAGGCTTCAGTAACAGCCTCAGCAGTGGGTTCCTTCACCTCCCCCAAAAGACCCTGTCAGCCCCAGAAAGTTAAGGGAGGATTCCCCCACACCAGGGCTCGTGTGCCCCACAAGAGACCCCAGGATACCCCTATGTGCCCCCTGCCAGGCCAGCTGGGCTAACCCTGGAATGCCAGGACGTGGGCACCCGTGTGAATATGGGGACCTAGGAAGGTAGGAGCAGCCGGCCCATACTTGTGGACAAGGAGCTGGGGCACCCCAGCTTGGGAAACGGAATCCCCATCCAGCGTGATGCACCCCACCCCTTGAACTCCCTGCTAACTGCCCCCACATGGGCTTTGGTGGATGTCTGGGGAGTTCCTGCAGGTGCCCCCGCCCTCACATCTCCTTGCTGTTACTGCAACTTTGACAAAAGTGCCCAGCAGGCAGGACATGTCGTGACTTGGGCATCCTGGAGTGGACGCTGCCCAGGACCTGGCTCCCAGGGAAGCCCTGGCTGTGTCCCCAACCCTACTGCTCTGGCCATGGTGGGACCAGTGAGCCGGGGGTGGTCATTCCTGGTGGGTGTGCCCAGGGCCTCCACAAAGGCAACTTGGAAAATGTCCCAGAGACCCCCCACGCACACCCTGGGCTTGGACACTAACTGGGCAGGAGCAAACGGACTCCCCCATGGGCCGGGCCAGCCCCAGGCCGGAGGGCGCAGCCAGCCCGGGGGGAAGTTGTCTGGCACCCGTGCCAGGCCTGCAGCTGTGCCTGTGCTGGGCACGTATTAGCATGTCCATGCCTGCACGCAGAGGCCAGCTGTCGAACCACGTGAATGCAGAGCAGCTCGCAAGCCAAGGATCACATTGGGGACTGCCCATCTCCCGCCCAAGGCTCAGATGCTCCGGGGCCACAGGAGAGGCCTGCCGACCCCACGTTGGTCTCCATCCTCTCCGGGGAGTCCGCTCTCACGTAAACTTCCCAGCACATGGACCCCAGGACAGGGCCCCCATTCCAGAGCCATAAGCCAGCTATCCTCAGATCTCAGAACTTGGCCCCCAGTCACCCAAACTTAAGACACTTCCAGAGCCCAGCACAACAGCCTAGCAGCTAAAGTCCTTGCCTTGCACACACTGGGATCCCATATGGGTGCAGGTTCTCATCCCATCGGCCCCGCTTCCCATCCAGCTCCCTGCCTGTGGCCTGGGAAAGCAGTCGAGGACGGCCCAAAGCCTTGGGACCTGCACCCGCATGGGAGCCCTGGAAGAAGCTCCTGGCTCCTGATCGGCGCAGCACCAGCTGTTGCGCTCACTTGGGGAGTGAATCATCAGACAGAAGATCTTCCTGTCTCTCCTATCCTCTGTATATCTGACTTTGCAATAAAAATAAATCTTTAAAAACAGGATACTTCCTGTCCCCCAGGGTACACACTGAGACCCTCAGATACGGAGATGCAGCTCCCACCCCCGAGAGCCCAGGACATGGCCCCTCTAGAACTGGGACCTGTGAAGGCAAGTGAACATAGACTGAGCCTGGCCAGCCGGCGAGTGACAGGACCCCCACGCACGCATGATGAAACAGGGAGAAGTGATGTGGTCTCATGGTGCCCTGGGGCCGGCAGAGACCCCACCTGCTCCCCGTGTTGGCCTGTGGTCTCGGCTGCAAGCAAGGCAGGCCCATGAGACGGGGAGCCCATGAGATGGGGAGCCAGGGCCACCTCTAGTCGTCCGCAAGCTCCCAATGGCCACTGCCTCTTGGCCTCTGGCCCAAGGAGACAGGAACCACACCCATAGCCCAGGCATGTCCAGGGCACTGGACAACAGGGACCATGGGGACCTGGGGCTCAGCTCACCATGGGACGTGCATGGGAACGGGGCATGTGTGGCTCAGTACACCGAGCCAGACGGGTTCACTGTGGGCAGGCCCCAGCTGGGGACAGCTGGCTGTCACCTGTCAGCCAACTACAGCCATGCTGGCAGCAACCAGGCCAGGACTGATCCAGGCCACTCAGCTCACCAACCGTCGTGCCAGAGATACCAATATGTGCCACACTCATGCTGGCAGGGGTGGGGCCACCCCTTGCCCACTGAGTAGCCCCAGGGCTTGGCCCACGCAGCAGGAGGCATCACGGGGCAGCAGCAGAGGGCAGAGCCCAGGGGTGGGCAGCAGATACTTCCCCCTCATCTTGGTGTCAGTGGGGTACAGGGACACGGCACAAGCTGAGTCTGAGAAGCAGGCACCCCCTCCTCCAACCCTGCTGAAGGCTCCTAGTCTGAAAGCCACATCCTGCACTGCCCAGGTGCCCCCACATTCAGAGGGACCTCCCTGCATACCCTCCCCATCCTCAACCTGCAGTCACGTGGTCGCCTTCCCCCAGGCATGTCCAGCAGGACTGCAGGTGGGAGCAGGGCAGGCATGTGTGGGAGCTGAGCACACAGCCAGCCTGCTGGTCATGGGCGCAGACGCTGGCCTGGGCTCCCAGCCCAGGAGCCGCCCACAGGGGGCCCTGAACATGCCCCCTCACCTCAGGCCCCACGGGGTCTTCCAGGGACCCCCAGGGGCACAGCCCTGAGTCTTCATGAGAGCTGCGCTGTAGCCACTGTGCAGACCAGCTGATGGCACCAGGCCTGCCCCAGAGGGCCTTCCCTCTGGCACCATGGTGCCTGAGCCCAGCGGGTGCAGGCCCCAACTGAAGCCCAAGCTGTGGTCATGCCGGCCCAGGAGGAACAGGGCCGACGGGCAGCAAGAGGACACGGGAGCATCCAGGCCTTCAGACAAGGAAGAGCCACTCCCCGGGGGGACACACAGGGAGGACCCTGAGGACCTGGTCCCCTGCATGCTTAGCATGTCCAGCTCCAACCCATCCCTACACCTGCCCCTGGTCTGTGCTGTCACCACCGTGCAGTCTTACTGGCACCCCAGGGTGGACCCAGCTGGCATGGGACCAGGGCTTGTCCACACCTACACTCTCATACCAGCCAACTTAAGCCTGGGTCGCAGTCCGCAGCACAGAAGGGATTACAGGGACAGTTGACAGGCATGGGGGCTGTGACAGTGCCCACCCCGCGGTCACTGCTGTGCGACCCTCGCCCAGTCTCCTCTGCAGCCCATGCTGTCCAGGGGCCTCAGCTCCCAGGAACCGACCACCCGGACGGACGGACGGACGGCTGCCCAGCCCCAGACAAGCCGGACTCAGGTGAGGCCCCACCCCATCGTGCAGGCCGCAGCGCCCCCTGGTGTCACTGGAGGAGTAGCACAGTCGGACACTGAATTCTGCCCTGTCCCACAGCTGAGGCCAGGACATCGTGGACCCCGGGGACCCCTGGGCCAGGCACTCCAGGGACGGGCAGGAAGTGGATGAACGGACAAGCCCTGCGACCATGCCTGTGCCGCACGGAGCCAGGGCAGGCCCCACTGCCGGGGTCAGAGCTGCAGGCTGGCCACCGCCAGGCCCACACGGGAGCCTCCCTGCCTGGCTGCAGAAAAGACCCTTCAGCTGGAGAGGACCCGCAGAGGGGAGGTCACGGGCCAGGCTGGCAGGTCACACACTTGCCCTCATGGTGGCCTGCACCTGTTCCCAAGGAGGAAAAGAAAATCATGCCCACTGCAAGGGGTTCCCGCAAAGAGGAAGTCACCCTGAGGACGCAGACTCTGAGGGAACAGAACCCAAAACAGCGGGTAGTAGCACATAGTGGGGAGACCACCCTCCCCCTCACGGACCACGGGCTCGGGCCCATGACACCCACAGGGTGCCCCCACGGACAATGCAGGGTGTGCCGGGACCCCCGACCTCGGGCCCAAGCCCCCTTCCTGGCTCAGCTCCTCCCCGAGCGCCCGGTCAGCACTGGGCCGCGCGGGAGGACACCCCGTCTCGGTGGGCACCGGGGCCAGTGTCGGCCACGCGGGTCCTTCGCCCACGCCGCGGCGGAGCCCCCGCTTCCTCCACCAGGCGCCCCAGGAGCTCGCTCGCCCAACTCCGACCGTGGCGAGGGCTGCACCCCGGCAGCTGAGTGTCTCCCGGCAGGATCCCCTCGCAGCCTCCCAAATCCCAGGCGGAAGTAGGAACAACATGGGCACGGGGTCGTAGTACGAGGCCGGGGCTCGAACCGGCGCCCGCAGAGGCCTTACCCGACACGCGCGGTGCGTGGAGCCGCCGAGAGCCAGTGCACCTGTGGCGCCATCTGGTGGCGACGGCGTGGACTGCAGCCCGTCCTGGGGCGCTGCCGAGAAACGCGCCGCGCGGCCACTGACCACGCCCGTCGTCTCCAGGCCTCTGTCCGAGTCCTTCCGTGATCCCCGGGCACTTCGCTTCCTTCCGGCCGCTCGGTGTTGCAGGATTCCCGGCCCTGACGCGCAAGGCCGAGGCCCGAAACCCACCGGCGCGTCGATAGCCGTGCCCTCAGGGGCCCCGCTGCCCGGTTCCATGATGGCTGCCCGACGGGCTGACTTCCCGGAAGTGGCGTCGCAGGACGCCCGCCCGGGGCCGGGAGGAGACCCGCGACCCGCTTTCCTTGCCGTCCATGCCTGCCCTGCCTGCCCTCGTCTCCGGCCTCGTATGCAGCGGCGGCCACTGGGGGTCTCCAGCAGGCTTCCCTGCCCAGGCCCTGGGGCCGTGGGAGACGCCAGGGTCCGGGCTCAGCATCCTCGGGCTGACAGCCTCCCCGGCGTGGGGTAGCCATTTCTAGGCCAGTGACCCAGTTAATGGCCTGATTCACGCAAGAGCCTCCAGGGCAGCCACGCAGTCAGATGCCACGAGGGAACTCTCCTCCCTCCTGGTCTCGGCTGCAGCCCTGGGCACCCACAAAAGGAGGCCTCATTCCAGCTTCTCGCCAAGGCTGGGCTGGGAGCCCCCACACCCACCAGGGCTGCCCCTGAGGGACCAGCCTGAGAACAGTGGACACTGCCCACCCGGGGCAACCCCAGACCCACTTCTGAGCCCGCCATGTGGCCGTGAATGACAGGCCAACAGCAGGACAGAGGCCCAGCAGGTCGCCCCGCCCCGGGGTGGGGGCAGTGCCAGGCAGGGCCTGAAGCCCCCCAAGGACTCCCGCAGACCAGCCGTGCTGGAGAGGACACTGCAGCCCTCAGGACTCCAGGCAGAAGCCCCAGCCCCAAGCTGTCCCGAGGGGCTGCAGACAGGAGGACAGCCTGGAGTCTCCAGTGGGCCCCCTCCCAATCCTGGGGACCCAGGACCCCCACCCCAAGCAGTATTCTCTGTACCCAAGGCAGAGCCCTGGGCAGCTGGCTGATACAGCCCTCGACCCAGATCTCAGCATCTATGCCCAGACATGTGTCCACCCCAACCCTGCCAGGAGGGGCAGCCATCTGCCCCTGAGACTGCGGGCACCAGTGCCTTAAGCTCCCACCCCCTAAATCCATAGTAAAAATAATCCTTCATTTGCCTGATGCGCCCCAGTTCTGCAGGCACGTCCTGGCCCAGCTGTGCATGCATGCACCACGACCCTGGGCACAGGCGTCCCACTTGCTGGCTCGCAAGGGGCTTGTGCACTGCGGCAGCACCAGCCACTCCCACATAGGACTGGGTTCCTGAGGTGGGGCGGGGTGTGCATCCAGGACAGCTCAGTCTGTGGGGGGATCCTTCAGGAGCTGGGCTCTGCCACCTGAGGCACCTGTTGCCAGCTGGAGCCCCACAGCCAGGAGACGGAGCCCACGTGTGTCAGCTGAGTGGCCCCATGGGCAGGAGGGAGGGGCCGGGGTGAGCAGGCGCAAGCAGACGCCTGGGTCCCAACTGTGGGCCAGAGCACCCCAGGGAGCTCATATGAGGGCACAGGGTGGGAACCTCAGCCACCCCTCGGCCTTTGCAGACCAGTCCCAGTGTGCCCAGGTTGGCGGGTCACTGCCACCCCCCCTGCCCTCCCAACCATTGGCCAGTGAGTGAAGGGTGAGGCCAGGACAGGGGCAGACCAGCCCACAGGCACCGAGGACCTGCCCTGACCTACAGATGACAGAGGCCACAGAGGGCAAGAGGTACCTGACCTGTCCCAGCTGATGGCAAATTCACCGCAAGCTGCTGCCCACCCCAGCTGAGGCCCGGCCCAGAGTAGGAGCCCACTGCACCAGGCAGCCCTCGCCTGCAGGTTCCACTGGGGACTGGCAGCATGCCCAGCCCTGGGGCGGTGCCAGGGCGCCCAGTGGCAGGAGTGGGCGGGGCACCTGCCAGGACTCTGCCTGCCTCACCAGGCCAGGCTCAGTACACAGCACCCAGCCCTTGCCATCACTTCACCCTTGCAGTCACCTTCCAAGGTAAGTGACCCAGGAGGTCTGGAGACCGCAGGGCTCTCCCACCCAGCTCAGGCCACGGGGCTGACCCCCGATTCCTGGGGGGGTGCGCTACTGCCCTGAATGTGCTGGGATTGACACCCCAGCACTGCGCAGCGCCCGCCGAGCTCCGAGCCTCAGGGGCCGGCAGGGCGCACGGCTGGGCTGGCTGCAGCAGGAGGCTGGAACCGGGCGGTGAGGGTCCTGCTTACAGATGTGCTGGGAGTGAGGAGGGGGGAATGCGAGTCCCCTCCGCGTGCTGCCTGTCCCCTCAACACACACATTCCACCCCCCCCACCCCCACCCCCGCTGCAGGGCTTCCCTGTCTCCCGGAGGGGCCCAGCTGCCCCGGTGGGGTAGCCACCCCCAGCAAGTCCTGGGCTGCCCAGGCCCCCAGAGGCACCATCACCAGCCCCACCTCCATCCCTCCCAGGATGCAAATTGCAGCCAAATCTTCCTGGCCCAGTGGGGCCACTGGCTGAGGGGTGGAACCCTCACAACCTGGAGGTGTCGGTGGGAGCCCCTGCTGGAGCCCCCGGTGGCCGTGGCCCTGCTTAGCCCCCAGGGGCAAGGCAGCAGCCTGGCCTCCCTGCGGCACCCCGGGGATGGCCGAAGGGGTGCCTCCGGAGGCTCTGCAGCCGCTGCTGTTGCCCCGCAGCCACAGGCTGGCCGCCGCGGAAGCCCCTGACGCCATGGAGGAGTGGGACGTGCCCCAGATGAAGAAGGAGGTGGAGAGCCTCAAACACCAGCTGGCTTTCAAGCGCGAGATGTCCTCCAGGACCATCCCCGAGTGAGTCCCGGCCTCTTTGCATCTCGTTTGCGTGCACCTAGGGCGGGCAGGCAGGTGAAAGCGCATGCCTGCTGACCCTGCCCGCCGGCTCACAGGCTCCTCAAGTGGATCGAAGACGGAGTTCCCAAGGACCCTTTCCTGAACCCCGACCTCATGAAGAACAACCCGTGGGTGGAAAAGGGCAAGTGCGCCATCCTGTGAGCGCAGGGCGGACGCACGGGCGCGCACCAGGACAGCGAGGCAGACTGCTGGCGAGGCGTTTATAAACACTTTCCAGCCCTGCGTGAGTCCGTTTTCTCCTGGGGTGGGGAGTGGGGGGCCCACTACAGCAGGTCCCGGATGTGCAGGCTGCGCCGCACAGCATTGGACACACCCTCATTGAAGCGGAACCAGACCTGGCTCCTGCCCACGGCCGTGCCCATGCGCCACTCCGCTGAGTCCTTGTCGCAGGCCGCGTGGTCATCTGTGGGGCCATGGCGACACGCAGTTATCACTGGCCTTGCTCCAGTGCCCCCACCACCCGACACAGGGTTGCCCCAGCCCCACCCCCAACACACCTGCCCTCGGGGCTGCCACTCTCCTGACCACCACACGTCCGAAGAAGTCCCGCTCAGGCTGAGGAACCAGGACCAGGAGCTGGGGGATGCGCCCATGCCCCCTCCCGGCCCTTCCTGGGGGACCCCGGCCATACCTGCTCCTCGGGGACAGCCCTGCCCAGGTGCGCCAGCCGCTGCTCATGGTTGTGGAGGGCTCGAGGGGCAGGGGACTGCACCCTGCTCTCCCCCGGTGCCGGGGGACCCCCGTTCACCTGCAGGGAGAGGCTGCGGGTGAGGGCTGTCCAGTGGGCAGGACCCCCCGCCCCTGCCCACACCGGCTCACCTGGTTGCCCTTCCCCACACGGGCCACTTCTGCCCGTCGCAGCTTCTCCAGCTCCACCTCCCGCGCGATGAGCTGCTTCGCCTGGTAGGTAAGGGGCTTGCGGGCCGGCAGCTCTGGGAAGCGGCACAGCTCTTCCACATTCCTGCCGGGCAGCACGAGCCAGCCTAGCACCCTGACGGAGCCCACCTCGGCCTAGCGGCCCAAGAGAGCTCCCTGACTCTGGTGCCCAGACAGAGCCCCCCACAGTCATCCCAGCGTAGGCAGGGCACGCCCCTGGCACTCACGGCTCCAGCCGGTAGACATACTGGCCGTCGGGCATGCGCTGCTGGCGGTAGGTGAGGCTGTAGGCCAGCATGGTGCCCACCAGGCTGGCCAGCTGCTGCTTCTCCCGCGCACTGTAGAGCTGCGTGCTCACCTGCAGTGTGGTGACAGCCTAAGTCCCGACCGCAGAGCCCACCTGGCCGCCCCCCCGCCGGCACAGGCACTCACGGGCCGCAGCCTGGGGGTCAGGATGTCCAGCAGCAGGCACAGGGCGTCCAGGAGCAGGGCCTGGGGTGCTGCCCGGCTGCGGGGGGCAGGGGCGATGCCACACACCAGCGCCTGCATCAGGTTCTTCATCTGGGTGGTCCGGACCTGAGCCTAGGGCAGAGAGCGAGCTGGTCTTGCCCTGTCCTCCCGCCCCAGCAGACGCTCCCCCAACCCCCATGACGGGCACACCTCCTGCTGGCTGCTGGGGAAGACGATGCGGGGCACGTGGCTGCAGGCCAGCAGCAGGTGGAAGGCCACGGGCAGGAAGGGCGGGTATCGCAGCAACTGGAAGCTCTGGCTGTGGTGGGCAGCACACCCCAGCAGGTCGTCGAAGGCCAGCCAGTCCAGGGCCGCGCACACGGTGCCCAGGCTGGAATCACGCAGGCGCAGGCGCAAGAAGTTGTCAAACAGGCCCTGTGAGGCGGGCAATGCACAGGTCTGAGCCCCCACCCACACACACGCAGCATCCAGAGTCAGAATGTACCCACGTGTGCACACACGCATAGCATCCAGAGGCCACCCTGAGCGCTCCCACTGCAGGCTACAGAAGCCCCGCCCGCCCTCCTGGCTCTCCCTGCCGCGTCTACACACCTGGACCTCTGGGTGCAAGCGATCCCAAGGCTAAACCAAAGCTGCTTACGGTTGGGGTCTACTCAGCCGGGTTCAGCAGGGTGGGGGCCCCCTGCCAGCTGTTCCACTCCATGCTGGCCAGCCAGCTCCTCCAGGCTACAGGACCATCGCGTCCCTCCCCCACAGCCTGTCCCCAGCCACGTGGCCCAGCCCAGCGCAGCCTGCAGTACCTGGACCACCTTCTCGTGCTCGCCTGCAGAGCTGGCCACGTGCAGGACATGGTAGAAGCGCTGCGAGGCCAGGGAGCCCGAGTCCCCATCCCCGGGCAGGAGCCCCAGAGCAGGCAAGGAGGGGTCCTGGCTCGCCTGTCGCCTGCAGGAGACATGCACTCTGTGTGGGCGTCCCCACCCTGACCCTGAAAAACCCCAAGCCGAGGACCTACCCTGGGGCCCAACCACTTGCCCCCTAGCACCCACCTGTTGGGGCGGGGCAGCTGGAAGACCTCCTGCCACACAGCGAAGAGGCCCTTGCGCTGGTCCTTGAGGCCGACGTGCGTGGCCTGCACCGCACGCACACTCAGCTCCCGCCGGCCCCGGCCATGCAGGAACTAGGTATGAGGTGGAGGGTGAGAGGCTGCACCCCAACCCTCGCAGCCCCCGCCCCAGCCAGCCATCTGACACCTGCACCCGGACCCTCGCAGCCCCCGCCCCAGTCAGCGCCTGACACCTGCAGCGTGTTGATACAAGCGCGAATGTCGTTGTCCGTTTTCTCACAGAGTGCAGCCAGCGCACCCGGGTCAGCCCGCATGCCCTGCCTCAGGCAGATCTGGGGGGAACAGGAGTGCTGAGCCCCCATCCCAGGCCCCGTCCTGGGCTTCACACGCCTCTGGGGGAGGCGCTGCCTGCGACAGGTGACAGGCTGCCTCCTGCCTCCCTGTGGACCGACCCAGGTCCTCATCATGAATCAACCCCTCGGCATAGTCACCAACCCCAACCAGCTGAGGGTCTGAGCCCAGGTGGCCTCGCCCCACCAGGCTGCGCCCACTCACCTCCTGCAGCCGCTGCACAAGCCTGCTGGGTAGGGTCGGGGGCAGATGGAGCACCAAGGCCTGCTGCTTCAGCTGCCGCAGGGCGGGGGCGAACCTGTGGGGGCAGTGGGGAGAGAGACCTAGAAGGCCAGCCCAGTCCACCCAGGGGTCATTCCAGTGCAAACCTGGGACACAGGGAGGACAGAGGAGAGGAGGGGAAGGGAGGGGAGGGGAGGAGAGGGGAGGGGAAAGGAGGGGAGAGGAGGGGAGGGGAGAGGAGCCCAGCCCGCCCAGCCGGCCCAGGGGGCACTCCAGTATAGACCTGGGGCACAGGGAGAGCAGAGGAGGGGAGGGGAGCCCAGGCCACTCACAGGTCATTGCAGATGCAGATGACAGGCCTAAGCAGAAGGCCCCGCTCGGCCCCACGCTGCCGGCCCTCGGCGGAGGCTGCCTGTGGGCCCTTGTGGTTCAGTATGCCCAGCAGCACGTTCACGGCCGCCTGCGGGTAGGGCTCGGTCAGCCAGGCCCACGCCCACCCTGCCCCCACTCTGACACCCCACAGCCTACCGTGGACGCCCCATCGATCTCGTCGATGACCAAGCAGTTGGGCTGCCCACTGGCGCCCAGCACCGACTCCATCTGTGTGGCGGCCTCAATGCGCGCGCGCAAGGCCTCGGGACTGCGGTCATCACTGGGGACACAGGGCTGGGTCTCAGGGCGGCCGTGGCCAAACAGCAGGAGCCCAGCCCTTCAGCAGGGCCCGTGACCCTGCGGGCCTCTGCCCCCGGGAACATGCCAGGATCGCCTCCTGCCTCGTTCACCTGGCGTTCACCTCCACCACGCAGTACCCGGCATGCCGCGCGATCACGTGGGCCAGTGTCGTTTTGCCCAGCCCGGGGGGCCCACACAACAGGGCCACCTACAGCACAGAGAGAGGGGACCGAGAAGGACACGGCTGCCCGCCGCCCCTGCCCTGTGCCCCCCAGCCTTGAGCTGTGCCCCAGCTCACCTTGTGCCGTGGCCTCCGGCTGGCATCCAGCTCCGCCTCCAACAGCTCCTCCAGCACCTGTTCATGGCTCTTCCACTTGCCAGGGGCTGCAGCATCCTTGCCACCACGCCCAGGCTCCACGCCAGCTCTGGGCTTCCGGGCCGGTCTCTCGTGACCAAACACCACCTGGTCCCACCGCCTCAGCCACTTCAGGAGGCAGCGGTTGGTGAACTGCAGGAAGGGATGTGGGGCCTGCAGCAGCCTCCGGGCACACTTGGGCACATCCCGACAGGATCCAAGCCCCCAGCCCGCCCACATGCGGACGTCCCGACAGGACCCAAGCCCCAGCTTACCTGTGTGGGGACACCATGACAGGCCCCCAGCCCCATGGGGATGCCCCGATAGGACCCTGGCCCCCAGCCCGCGTGGGGACACCATGACTGACCCCTGGCCCCCAGCAGCCCATCTTTCCCCGCGTCTCACGTCGTCACTGAGCAGCTCCCGGTAGCAGCGGGGCGCAAACTCGTCCACCCACAGGTCGTGCTGGGCGTCCTGCTCGGCCGGCCGCTCCTCGGGGGCCGCCCCGGGCCGGGCCTCTGCGCCTTCCTCCGCGGGCCCGGGGCTGCGGACGGGGTCCAGAGCCGTCAGGCGCCCCGTCCAGAGCAGAGGGCGCCCCGCGGGAGGGAGCCGGTGTCCTTACCTGTGCAGGGCGTCCCGCTGCCGCCGCTGGAGATGACAGGGTCGGGGTCAGGCCGGCCCACGAGCACCCCACAAGCACCCCAGCCCCAGCCCGCACCCCACCTCGTGGTCGACTTGCTCCTTGAGGGAGGACAGGGGCAGCCCCAGCAGATCCAGCCGGCCGCCACCTCGCCACCGGACGTCGGGCAGGAGGCTCTGCAGGCGGGAGCGCGGTCACGCACAGCGGGGTGCCCGGCGTCCCGCCTCCACCCTCCGGGGTGCCCCGCGCCCCGCACGCACCGGGCCCTCCGCGGGGTCGGCTCGCAGCACCAGGAAGGCCCGGTGGCCGTCGGTGGACGTCACGGAGACGAAGTCCTGCAGGACCGGGGCCCGGCGCAGCACGCGGCGGGGGGCCAGCTCCAGCCGGGGCCGCTTGGCGCCGGGCGCCCCGGAGAGCAGGTCGCCGCAGGCCTCCGGCCCTGCCGGCCCACCTTCCCGCTCGGCCAGCACCTCCAGCTCGGCCGCGAACCGGCTGTGGAAGGTGTCCTCCGCGCCCCACGGCTCCCGCCCGTAGTCCTCCATGCTGCCCGCGCGTCCCAAACCGCCCGCGCCGTCGCCAATCAGCGGCCGGCGGCCCTCGCCATTGGTCGGCCGCCTGGGGGCGGGACCGAGTCATGGCTCGGTCCTCAGCCGCCATTGGTCCTCCTTGCCGCCGGCCCGGGGCAAGAGGCGGGACAGGGGCGGGGAGGAAGTGCGGTGGCGTGCGCAGGCGCCGTGGTCGCAGCGGCGTCTGCCCGGGCGCCTGCCATTGGCCGGCGCAGCCGTCGGTCCGGGCGGTGCGCCGGGCCCGGGCGCTGCTCGGGGGTCTCCGGGCTGCTGGGTGCCGCGTCGGGGGCCGGGCATCCCCGAGGGTGAGGGGTGAGGGGCGCCCGCCCGGGGTGTGCGGGGGTAAGCTCCGAGCGGCCGTGGGCCGCGCGCCATGGAGCCGGGCAGCGTGGACAACCTGAGCGTCGTGTACCAGAGCAGAGACTTCCTGGTGGTGAACAAGCACTGGGACCTGCGCATCGACAGCAAGACCTGGCGGGAGACGCTGACCCTACAGAAGCAGCTGCGGCACCGCTTCCCGGAGCTGGCCGACCCGGACACCTGCTACGGCTTCAGGTCCCGGGGCGCGGACACCTGCTCAGACAGGGGTCGGGGGCGCGGGGGGCGCGGACACCTGCTCGGACAGGGGGCCGCAGAGCGCTGCCACGTCCAACCGCATACCCCCCTCTCTCCCCCCGTGCAGGTTCTGCCATCAGCTGGACTTCTCCACCAGTGGGGCACTGTGTGTGGCCCTCAATAAGGCGGCAGCTGGCAGTGCCTACAGGTGCTTCAAGGAGCGGCGTGTCACCAAGGCCTACCTGGCTCTGGTGAGTCCCCGGGGTGGGGCATGGCGATCCCCCCGGGGGCCACTGGCAGCTGACTGAGCTACAGGACCCCGTGTCTGGCAGGTGCGGGGACACGTCCAGGAGAGCCAGGTGACCATCAGCCACGCCATCGGCAAGAACACCACGGAGGGCCGTGCCCACACCATGTGCATCGAAGGCACTGAAGGTTAGCTTCCCTGCTCTTGGCTGGGGTCAGGGTGGGAACAGCCCCCAGTGGGGCCCAGAGCCTTACCCCTGTCCGCTGCACCCTAGGCTGTGAGAACCCCAAGCCGAGCCTCACGGAGCTTGCACTCCTGGAGCACGGATCATATGCGGGAGACCCCGTGTCCAAGGTGCTGCTGAAGCCGCTGACGGGTACGTGCTGGGCAGGGCAGAAGGGGACACAAGACCGCCTCCACCTCCAGGCTCCCCTGGGGTGCTGTGAGCCGCCAGGGGCGTGTCCCTGTCTGAGCCCCCCACCATCCACAGGCCGGACGCACCAGCTGCGTGTGCACTGCAGCGCCCTGGGCCACCCAGTCGTGGGCGACCTGACCTACGGGCAGGCTGGTGGCCGAGATGCCCAGCCCTTCCGCATGATGCTGCATGCCTTCTACCTGCGCATCCCCACCCGGGCCGAGCGCGTGGAAGCCTGCACGCCGGACCCCTTCCTGCCTACCCTGGATGCCTGCTGGAGCCCACACACCCTGCTACAGCCACTGGACCAACTTGTCAGGGCCCTGCGGGCCGCCCCTGACCCCGAGCCCATTGACAAGGACACCTGTGGACCCCTGCCACCCCACCCCACGTCCCCTGAGACTGAGGCACAACGGGCCTCTTGCCTGCAGTGGCTGTCAGAGTGGACGCTGGAGCCTGGCCACTGAGGCGTGGGCCGGGGATATGCACACACAGCCGAGGCCTGGCCCGTTCAGCCATCCCCATTGTGGGCAGCTGCAGGCTGGTCAGCTCAGCAGCCAGGCCTGGGGAGGGTCCTGCAGGGCCAAGGACAGTATCCTTGTCCCGCCATCCCGGGACCAAGGGCCAGGCCAGGAGCCAGCCAAGCTGTCTCGGCTGAGCCCCAGGCAGCTGTGCCCCCACAGCGGTGCTGGCCAACTCCCTGGCTGGAGCCCCAGGCCCACAGGGTTCCTTCTCCGCTCAGGCCCCCCGGCCCACAGCCTGGCCAGCTCCTCTCCTGCTGCCCCTGTCTCGCTGGGACCCTTGGACCATGCCTGGCCAACCTTGTGCCTTCACTCCTGCTGGACTCTAACCAAGGCTCCTCTCACAGACACCAAGCTGGGCCTGTGGGGGCTACCCAGGGCAGCTCTCACAGACCCTGAGCTGGGCCTGTGGGGGCTGTCTGGGGCTCCTGCTCCCTTGCAGCCACGGGTATCCCCTAACCTTGGGTCTACTGCCCTTCTCCCTGGTCTGGCCGTGTCACCCCACTGTAGCTGAGCTGCACAGAATAAATGCTCCTGAACCAGCCCCAAAGGGGCCACAACCATGTCTGTCAGGTGTCTGGACACACAGCCCCTCCCCCGGGCATGAGCAGCCACTGCCAGAGGTGTGGACACACAGCTGGTCGCCGGGGCACCCCTCTGTGGCAGCCCCTCACCCCTGCCTGGCCCAGGACCACCCTCACCTTCCCTTCTGGGGGGCCAGAAGTCCCCGCATCAGGAATGGCAAGGGAACAAGAGGCCACTTGGGGCAAGGACAGGGAGAACTTTTCTGCTTCAGGTCCCTGCTGAGGTCTCAACACCCCCACAGTGGGGGCAGCAGCAGGAAGGACCAAGGCAGAAATCGTGTTCCACTGTCTGTACACGTGCCTGCCTGGCCACAGCCATCACTGAGAGCCACCTCCTGGGGTCCACGGGAGCCTTCCACAGGGAGAAGACACACACGTGACCGTGGCACACACCAGGACTCATGTTTGAAACACACAGACACACGCGTGACCGTGCCCGCAACTCACACCAGGACTGATAGATCAGACACACATGACTGTGGCACATGCCAGGACTGGTGGATGAAACGCGCACACACATGACTGCAACACGCACCAGGGCTGATCCCTGCTGGGAGGGGTATGTGCGGGCAGTCTGCCAGCAGTGAGCTCAGCCGCCCTCCCTGGGGCTGGGAAGCAGGTGTCTGCTGGCCCTGGGCCCCCGGGAGACTGCGTCACGGGCCAGGCCCCTCCTCTGCGAGACTGCCTGGCAGGTGTCACTGCATAGGCGGGGCGGGAGTCACTGGCCCTGGCAAGGGGCTGAGCGAGGCCCCGGGCCCTGCCCAGCACAGTGCCTGCCTCGCCCTGGCAAGGGTATAGACAGGGACCTGGGACGCTGCCCTGCCCCTGCCCGGGCTGACAGGCTGGTATCTCGGGACCACGTCCCGGTGATGGGCTAAGGAGCACCTGCCTGGAGGGGCTCAACTCAGGTGAGTGGGCACCCCCCGCCCCGGGCTCCACTCCCACCTTCTCCTGGGCCCCCTCCAGAGGGTCAGGGTGCAGGGTGGTGGCCAGTGTCCTGGAAGAAGCAGCAGGGCCCAGCAGCCTGCCAACAGCCCCGTCACCAGACATGGCTGGGGGAGGGAGAGCCGGGTTCCCACACCCCGTGACAGAGCACAGGTCTCTCTGTCCCATGATGAGGAGAGCAGGGGCTCCTCCCATCCCGTGGTGGGCAGAGGGAGTACCGGGCCCCCCCCACACACCTTGTGCTTTGGGTCCCAAAGGCAGGGACGCAGCTGCAGCTGGAGCTCAGGCTAGTGCCTCGCACATCCCTGCACCCCTCTCCCTGCTCTCCTCCCCAGCTGCCTCAGCCAGGATGACCAGCACACACCGCACAACCAGGGGCCCCAGAGCCGGTGAGGACATCCACAGAGGGGGTGCCCTCTGCCCACACCCCAGGTTGTGGGACCAGGCACCTGCCCAAGGAACTCACCATGCCGGGAGGGGCGACCAGGGCCAGAGAAGGGCAGTGTGGGCTACTGCAGACAGGACTTGGGAGGGTCAGCCCCTTTGGTGGGCTCGAGTGCCAGGAGGCTGTGGATGGAGGGAAGGGGCCAGGCACCATGCACCATCATGTGGGTACCGTTAGGCCTGCCAGCACCCAGCACCTCCGCCACAAGCGTTGATGCCTCTAGACACCGGGTCTCGCCCACCTGCAGGAGACACTGGCTGGGTGTCCTGGGCTGGCCCCACACAGATCCCTGGACCTTCCTGCGTGTGCCGCAGCCAAGGCCCCCAACCCGCTCTACCGCAGGCCTCGCCCTCCTGTTATGCCTGGCAGCTCGAGGAGCACCTCCCCAGCCCAGGGGCTTCTCCCAGGACCAGGATGCCAGTGAGGTTGGCCTGTGGGCCAGGTGAGTGCTGGCCTCCCGGGGACCTGGCCACCTCACATCACCCAGGGCACCAGTGACCACTTGGGGGCTGGAGCCGCAACTGGGCCGGATGTGCTGGAGGAGGCCACACCTCAGCCCAGCCTGGCACCCTCGGGTTTCCCCACAGCCCAAGATGGGGCACCACAGAGGAAGGGCAGCTAGCCCGGGCACTTTCTGTTGCTGAGCCCTCATCTCCTTCCTTAGGGTTGGTGGTCAGCCAGGCAGGGCCCGGGTCCACAGACTGGGCTGAGGTCACGCAGGCTGCACCCTGGGCAGCAGCAATTGGACCCACAGGGCCTTGAACAACCCCAGCTGAGAGCCTAGCCCCAGCAGGCAGCTCTCCAAAGGCACGGGCACTGATCAGGTGGCCAGTCCCAAATAGGCTGGCACTGCCTGCTGCCTGCCCCTGCTGAGCGCGGCTGCCTCTGAGCTGGCCCCAGGCCCTCATGACTACCTCTCGGCCATCCAGGGCCAACACTTCAGTCCTGCAGGCCTTCTGGTGCCCACCTGCCCGCCCAATGCCCCGGGACCAGCTCTCGGCCTTCATCAGGAACCTGAGCTCGCAGCAGGTGGCCCTCAGGGCCTGGCAGGTAGGCCTTGCAGCAGGCATAGTGCCATGCAGGCCCCACCCGTGCCGGTCTGGCCCACCTGCCCATACCCAAGCCTTGTCGCCAGTGGTGTCCACCTTGCCCTGCCTGCCAGCCAGACCGCCCCCCCATGTCTGGAGCACAGTGCCCGGTGCTCACCGCCCTCCCCCCGCCCCGGGAGTTCTCTGGGCTCGGGGCTCTTGTGAGGGGCTGGGTAGGTGCTGTGGGTGCCTGGCCTGAGGAGCTCAGGGGGAGCTGGGCAGGTCCATTTGGAGGCCCAAGGCTTTGCCAAGGCAAGTCTGACTGGACAGGGAGTAACTGACCACTGCCCTCCCAGCTCAGCTGTTTGGCCAACCTGGCTGCCCAGCAGCATCTCCAGGGTGACTTCCAGCTCCACCCCCCCGACCTCCTGCTCTTCTACAAGTAAGCAACCCCCCTTTGCCCTCACACCAGGGCCACCCGAGGGCAGCAGGCCTGAGGGGGCAGCGGGCTGGGTGTGGCCCTGACACTCCGGCCCCCCTGCAGCCTGGACCAGGTAAGGGACACCGACTGCCGGGCCTTCACTAGCCGTGCTACCCAGGGGCACATGGAGCTGCTGACCAACCTGCCTGACCAGAGGGCTGCCCTACAGCACACGGCCTGGGCCTGCCTGGTAGGTGCCTCTGCAGGCCGGGCTGGGCTGGGTCAGGCCAGGCAGTGAGGCCTGGTTCCCCTAGTGCTAACCGGCCACCCCTGCAGGGGGGACCCCACCTGCAGCTCAGCGCCTCAGACCTGGAGGTCCTTGGGGTGCTAGTGTGTGACATGGACGCGTCCAGCATTGCAGCTGCAGACTCCCAAGTGCTCGAGAACCTGGGCCACTGCCCACAGCTGACCACCGCCCAGAGGGTCGCCCTCAACAGCCTGCTGGCCGCTGGGAACACCTCCCTTGGGTGAGGACCCTGACACATAGCCCTGCAACCTGTGGGTGCCAGCGGTCACTGGGGCGGGGGCAGGTGGGCTCTGGGGTCTGGGATGCTGCCCTGGACTCCAACACGGTCCCAATTCCTTCTCCCAGGCCTCCTGGCTCCTGGGACCTGGAGGGGTTGCAGGCGTTGGGACCCCTGGCCACCTATATCAACCCCCACCTGTGGATGCAGGTGCCAGAGGTAGGACAGTGCCTGGGGTGGAGAGCAGGCCTGAGTGCGGCAGCCAGCATTGGTCCAAGGACATTGTGGGGCAGGGGCCTCAGCGATACCAGCAAGCTGCTTGCCAGGCGGCCAGCCTGGACTTCTTCCGCAGTGTGGTAGCCATGTGCCGGGAAGGCCAGCTCAGCCAGCGCGAGGCCAGGCGCTTTGTCACCAGCTTCCTGGAGTCCAAGGCCACGCTGGTTTCCACCAGGCCCAAGCGGGACACAGGTCAGCGTGGCCTCGTGGACATGGGGGTGCCCTGGGCCAGCGTCTTCCTGGGAGGGCCAGCAAGGTCAGCAGCCAGGCAGGAGCTGCTCACCTCACTGGCCACACTTGCCCAGGGAGGACCTGCGTGGGCGGCAAGGTCACGGCAGCCACACTGCGGGACGACCTCTTCCTGGTGCGCTACAACTGCACGCAGCTAGAGTCCTGCCTGGACAGCGGGGTGCTCAAGGCGCACCTGGACCCCCTGCTGCAGCAGCCCCTGCCCGCCGAGTGCCAGCGAGTCGTCAAGACCAAGCTCACCCAGGTGCCTAGGGGGCACAGGGCAGGGCCTGCACAGGACTGACCCCGGCACCCAGGTCTATGGGGTGGGGGAGGTGCAGCGCAGAGCCGGGACAGGGCCTGACCCCGCCCTGCCTGCCCGCCCAGGTCTACCCTGGGGGCGTGCCCGAGGACCAGCTGCGCAGCATCACCTCACTGGTCTACCTCTACTCCGCGGCCGAGATCAGCCAATGGAACATCACTTCCGGGGCCACAGTGCTGGCCCTGCTAGCCTCTGACGTGGCCCTGGAAAATCAGACTGAGGTGTGGGCCCTGGCCGGGGCGGGTGGATGGCAGACAGCCTAGGCCCTGCTGACCCCACCCTGCCCCCAGGCTGTCCTGCAGAAGTTCCTGGACCACAACGGCACGGTCACTGGTGCCCTGCTGGTGGCCATTGGGGGCTCTCGCCTGTGCTGGATGAGCCCGCAGCAGATCCAGGCCATCCGGCCCTCAGAGCTCCGGTAAGTCGCTGGGAACCCCACCCCCCAAGGGGCCACACAGGGAGTGGAGGCTGGGGAGGGTCTGTCCTGCCTGGGGCAGGAGTGTGCAGCCCCTGAACCCTTCTCCAGGCTGGCCGGGGCCCTGGACGTGTCTCGCTGCCCACAGAGCCACAAGAACCTGCTCTTCGCCAAGGCCCGTGAAGCCTTCGGTAGCATGAGGACCACCACCGCTGCCTACTACCACTCCATGCGCCCCTACCTCGGTGAGCCGAGCCCCCTCCCCTACTCCGCCCTGTCCCCCAGGAGCCCCAGGCCCTCCCCTTACCCCTGCCCTCTAGGAGGCGCCCCCGTGGAGGAGCTGCAGCACCTGGCTCAGGCCAATGTGTCCATGGACATTGACACCTTCACCAACTTGAACCCCAGCGTGCTGCAGGTGGGTGGGGCAGTGCAGGGGAGGGAGGGGCTGGTCTGCAGACCCCTCTGTGCTGCTGCCCTCCCCCCTCACAGAGTCTCAGCGTCAGCAACGTGACCACGCTGCTGGGGCAGAACGTGGGGGACCTGCAGAAGGCCCGCAGCCACCCGGCCATCCGTTCCTGGCTTGGCAGCCTCAACAGTTCGGCACTGTACAAGCTGGACCTGGCCCTGGGCACCAGCAGCCTCAAGGGCTCCACAGGCACAGCCTATGGGCTCCCTGACACCACCTCCCCGACGCACCATTCCTCAGGCCTGCTGGGGAGCCACATCGCGGCCCCCACCTCGGGTACAGGCTCACCCTGTGGACACTCATACTGTCACGGCAGTCAGGGCTCTGGGGTTTCCTGGCCCCAGCTTCTGGGAGGTGGGGAGTCGCTTCCAGCGCAGGGCTGAAGCTGTGCCCCGTCCCTCCCGCAGGCAGCCCGCGAGCCTGCGTGGGGCGTCTGCTGCTGGCTGCAGCCCTGCCCTCCGGCCTCCTGTGGCTGCTGTGGCTCGGTGTCTACAGAACAGCACAGCTTCCACAGTCTGCCCAGAGGAACGCCTGCATCGGGGTGTGGTGCCCCCTCCCTGAATAAAGTCAAGATTTTCTAACCGCAGTCTTTGCTCCAGGCCTGAGTGGCCACCCTCCACCTGCACCCTCGGGGGTCTGGTCAAGCCCAGCCTTGGGTGCCACCCATGCCGTGTCTAGAGGTCCCGGAGGGGCTGATGAGTGCTGTAGGCTTAGGACGCTGTTTATTTAACTCACATCCCCGCAGGGCTGGGCAGGGCGCACGGGGCTCTGGGGCGCCCAGGACACTGTCCTCAGCGGGAGGGCAGGGTCAGGAGCAGAGGCACCATGGTGGCCAGCAGCTGTCCAGGACAGAGGCGTGGCGCCCCGGAGTGGGTCTCTGTAGAGAGCGGGACTCAGACCACGGCCTCCCCTCACCCCAGGCCCGCCCCTGCCGCCTGCACCCACCTTGGAGAGTGAGGTCCAGGAGCAGGTAGCCACTGGGGACACCCCCGAGGAGCCCCAACTGCAACGTGTCCAGATCCTCCTGTAGCTGCCGGCAGATCCAGTCCCGCACTGGGCTTCTGTGCGCCTCGGACTTGAGATCCACCACGTGTGGGCCCAAGAGGCTCTGCACTTCAGCCACGGTCAGGGGCTGGGGACCAGCCAGGGCAGCGGTCAGGTCCCGGCCCTGCCCACCGCCCGAGGCCCCGCCTACCGCCCCTCCCCCTTACCACCAGGGCCTCCACACGCAGCTTCCTGAACGTGGCTATGTCCACGCTCACGTTCCGCCAAATGAGAGCCCGCAGGTCATCCGTGGAGGCCCCACCTGGCATGGGGAGAGGTGCCCCACGTGGGAGACCCCACAGCACACCATCCCTACCGCCAGCACAGTGATCCCCCAGCGCCCTGCAGGGTGGGACACAACCCCTCACCCAGGAAGGACTGGATCTTCTCAGTGTACCCCGGCCCACTGGCATTGCGAAAGGCCAAGAGGGCTTTCGGATAGAGGACGGCCAGCTGCTGCGGGCTGCAGGTGTCCAGGTCCTGGGGTCCAACTGACTCCACAGCGCTGGGCGGCAGGTGTACCAGTTGTTCAGGGCTGAGCACACACAGGTACAAGGGCCGGAAGCCAGCCAGCGCATCCAGGACCTCCTGGTCCAGCCAGTTCCGTCCCATCATGTAGCGGAAGATCAGGGCAGCCACCTGCAGAAGAGAGGCTACTGTGGTGCCAGAGACAGTGCCAGACGCACAGCCCACGGCCCCAGCCCTGCACAGCCTCACGACCGGCCCGCCACAGTGCCAGACGCACAGGCCTTGGCCGGCAGTCACCTGAGCGTCTAGCCTCCGACCCCTGCTGGCTCGGAGCAGGGCCGTCACTGTGTCCACCGAGGTAACGTTCCACTTGTGGATGTCCTCCAGGCTCATGGCAAGGAAGAAGTGGCCCAAGCGCCTGGTCAGGGACTCAGGGTAGCCCTGTGGGTAGGACTGCAGAGGAAGTGACAATGAAGGCCACACAGGGACGGGGATGCCCAGCTCTGGCCACCCACCTCGTCCAGCCTGCGTTTCAGGATGTCTAGCTGCTGGTAGGTGAAGGGGATGGAGTTCACGCGGTCCATCTGGGCGGCCAGCAGGCGCCCATCCACGCAGACTTCCAGCTCCCAGTCGGCATAGAAGAACAGATTTTCGTCCACTACCGCAGGCTTCCGTCCCGGGGGGCAGGCGGCCTCTGCCGGGCCAGGAGCCAGTTTTCTCTCCGCCACGCCCCTCTCCCTCCTCGCCCGGGGCCTCAGGTCCCCTTCGTGGCCTGGGGTGATCCCCCACCCTGGGGCCCACCCCTGCCCGGTGTGGTGGACCTGGGCCTCACTCTGCGTGTCTCGCCGGAGCCTGGGGTGGACCATGGTCAGCTGAGCCTGCTTCCAGTCTGGGCCCAGGAAGGCAGGATGCAGCCTGGTCCCGAGGACCCCCTGTACAGAGAAGGGCCTGCCGAGCTTCAGGTCAGGCTTGCTGAGGAGCCCGAGCAGAACCACCCAGCACAACCAGCGTGGAGACAGACCATGTGGGTGGGGCAAGGTGCTGCTGCCCCAAGACGGGGATTCCTGTGAAGAACCCAACTCTAGCCCCAGCCCTCAGGGGTACTGTGGCTGATGCCCGCACTAGTCCCGGACCTTCCGCCTGCACAGCTACTATGGTCCATGGCCCCCGGGAGGCCTCTAGCCTCGACAGGACCAGCTTGGCCAAGCCAGCCTCAAAGCACCCAGGGAGCTCACAAGCTAGGCTTCCCAGACCCCACAGGTCAGCTCGTTCACCCAAGACCCCCACAGCCTGCAACACGCAGGCACCAGCACCTCCGGGGGCTCCTCACCCCGTGTCCAGCTGGCCCAGCTCTTACCCTGCAGGCTAGAGCCACGGACAGCAGCCGCTGCCTCTTGGCTGCCGTGCTCAGGAGCACGTCCATGTTGGCCTGGGCGAGGCGGGACAGGAAGCTGGCACAGGCTTGGGGCCCGGGGCCCATGGTCGAGCTGCAGACAGAGGTTGCTGGAGACTGCCACCCGCCACAGCCCGCACCCATGATCCCATGGGACAGTGGACACAGGGCCAAGTCAAGGACATGCAGCAGGTCCAGGAAGGTGTCCACGTCCTTGGGGACTCCAAGCTCTGTCCAGCGATGCGTCAGCGCAGCTGCCAAAAGCCTGGATACCCATCCAGAACGGGTACTGCCCCAGGAGACAGGTCAGGATCCCCACCCCCCCACATCTCCCAGCTTGTGCCCACAGATATCCCTAAAGGAGAAGTGTCTGTGGTTGTCCCCCATCCAGGTCCCAGGCCGTCCCCACACCCCTGCTGGATCACCCCAGGGCTCCGGGGGCCAGTGAACCAGTTGCAGCACAGTCACCTGTGCTGGGCGGGCTGGGCCCAGGGGTCAGCAGGCGTGCATGGAGAACTGTGGCAAGGCTGCTGGCCAGTCCTCCTGGAAGCGGGCCCCTGGGCTGACCTGGCACAGCTGTGGCATTCCTCTGCCTCAGGACCATGGCCAGCTGCCGGACATACCCCTTGCTTAGACCCGACAGGGCCATGCATGTGAGGTAGAGGAGGGGCCTGGGAAGAGGCTGGCCAGAGTAGGGGGCAGAACTGTGCACCTGGGTCACCCCCTACCCAGCCCGGGGTCTAGGTGGCACAGAGGACCGGAGCCACAGTACCCTGCAAGGGGCAGACCTGGCCACCCGGAGGGAGGCAGGTGGAGAAACGCAAGTCCACAGGTCAGATCTGAGGCCTGGGGGCTGCACAGCCAGCACCTGGCCCACCCAGGGGGCACGGAAGGCCTGGAGCCACACCCCTAGGGCTACAGGAGCCTGACCCACCTGGCAATGTCAGAGGCAGACAAGACTCGGTCCAGGAGTGTGGGGTCCTAGGGACATAGGCCTGGCTGGACCTGGGCCCAGCAGTTCTAGACCCAGGTCCCAGCCCGTGTCCAGCTGCCTCCAGGGCCCAGCCCCACTCCGGAATCTGCCCCCTTACCTGAGGGGTCTGCACAGCCTGAGCCCCCAGGAACAGCACCCACCCTGCAGGGACAGGGCAGAGGGCTCAGGGGCAGGGCTGGGGGTTTCCAGGGGAAGAACAGGAAGACAAGCCACGCCTAGCCTGCCCCCTGGGCCGCCCTCCCCTTCTCCAGCACCCCTGGGGACCCCCACTCACTGAGGCTGAGGAGTGGAAGCAGCAGGAGAGCTGCAGTCCAGGCCATGCCTGGACCCTTCAGGCTAACGCGCAGCCCGTCTGGCCTGTACCCTGTGGCCCCAGCGGTGCCTGGCAGCACCTTCAGGTACCTGCAGGGTGCCTGGCTCTGCCATCCACGGCCCGCCCCTTCCGCCGCGAGGGGGCTGGGTCTGACAGCCCAGTCTGGCTGGCACCAGCCAGGCCACCACGCCCTCCTTACTCCCGGACAACCTTGGGGGTGGGGGCTGGACAGCTGGGGGTGCTGGCTGCAGTAGCCAGCCCAGTGCCCTGAAGCTGTCCCTCGGGGGCTGGGGAAGGAGGTCAGATCTCATTCCTGCCCCCCACCCGCCTCTCCCTGGACAGAGGCTCAACACTTCCATGAGCGCTGGGCCCAGGTCAGCTGATGTGCCGCGGGGCGAGTCCTGAGCAGGGACTCCATGCTGTCCTCCCACCTCTGCCCAGGACCACTCCCCAGCCAGACTACCCCCCAACAGTGCCCCTCACTACCACTCCCATGCATACAGGGCAACTAAACCCCTGCCCCACTCCACAGGGACCGGGTCAGGGTCAGTCCTGGGTCCCAGGCAGACAATTAGCCCTCTACACCTCGGGGCAGCTCCACCTCTAATGCCCACTGGACTGCCAAGTCCCAAGTCCAGGGAGGTCTTGCCCACTGTGACTTGGAAACCCCAAGGTGACCGCCACTAACCCTGACTTTAACCCCTCAGCCCACTGGGGCTCAGCGTCCTCACCTGGAGGCAGGGTGGCGCCCGGAGCTGTGGGAGGACACACGGGGAGCTCCCACCACAGGAATGCACAGGGAGGGCCGGTAGTTGCAGCTGGCAGTGGACACCAGGCACGGGCCGGCACAGGGAGGAGGCCTGCTGGGGCGGGGGCAGTGTCAGAGCAGCTGCCCCAACGGTGCTGCCCGCCACAGCTGCCTACACACCAGGCACCGCATGGTGTCTTCCATGGAGGCCCGTATAGCTTCCTCTGTAGCTGGACCCCACTGCAGCCGAACCTTCTGGCTGAACCCTCTGGCTGACCCACTCTGTGACATGACCCCTCCAGGGCTGGCGCAGGCCGTGGGCACACAGGGCGAGGTCCTCAGACGCATCGTGGGGAGGCAACAGTCTATGGGCCGCCCGGAGCTCCTCTCACGCGCAGGCACGAGCTCTGATGCCTCTTTCCAGGCTGAAGTCCCACTGGCGGCTGTCAGGGTGCCCACCCCATGTGTGGCCTTGCCAGCCTGGGCTCTGTGATGTACCACGTCCGGCTCCCAGGCCTGCACGCCATGGCCCACACGGCTCTTGCTCCCACACTTTGCTGTGTGCAGGGTCAACCCGTGTGCAGGCAGGACTTGGGCTGGGCTGGGGGCAGGTAGTGCAACCCCCGCCACTCCTGTGACCTGCATGACCTCCACAGCTCCATGACCTCCATGAACCCTGTGACCTTCATGACTCCTGTGACCCCCATGACTCCTGCTCAGCATCTATGGGGACCCAGACCAGCAAGGAGAGCTGGGGCGGGGGATGTGACTTAGTGAGAATGAGACAGGCCAGCCGTGGCTCACAGGCTAACCCTTCGTCTGCTGTGCCAGCATCCTCTATGAATGCCAGTTCGTGTCCCGGCTGTTTCACTTCCCATCCAGCTCCCTGCTTGTGGCCTGGAAAAGCCTTGGGACCCTGTACCCAGGTGGAAGACCTGGAGGAAGTTCCCAGCTCCTGGTTTCAGATCAGCTCAGTTCTAGCCATTGCAGCCACTTGGGGAGTGAACCAGCACAGCGAGATCCTTCTTTCCTCTCTGTAAGTCTGCCTTTCCAACAAAAACAAATAAGTGTATTTTAAAGAGAGAGAGAGCGAGACAGATGTGAGGTCGTGCTGTGACATAGTTTCCCGACGGGGTGCCATCAGTCCTGGAAGAAGCTCTGGCTGCCTCTCCCAAGAGGCCAGTGTGCCCCCTGTCCCCTCCACTCCATGGAAGCCCCGGGGAGCATGCCCAGCGTGGGGCCCAGGTGCCCAGTGTGGAGCACGCCTGTGCTCTAAGTCCCACTCCCGTGCGGTGCTCTCCCAGGTCCTGACACGCCTGCTCATTAGCCGCTAATGGCAGCGGGCCCGGCACCTCCACCTGTTGACAAGATGTGGGGGCCCCCAGGGGAGGCCCCGACAGCCGATTATGCTGCTAATGATGCACTCACGGCCCCTCCGCCAAATAGAATGCGTCCGCTTGGCTGCTGGGACACCCCAGCCTCGCCAAAGGTTGAGGGCACACTGGGGTGCTGGCTCCGCACACAGGAGTCACAGCGAGCCTCCGCCGTGGGGAGCCCGCAGGCATCCCTGCCCGAGTGCCCGAGGTGCCAGCCCCTTCACACTGTCCCTGGGAATCCCATCTGCGTCCTGCACAGGTGGCCACAGGGGCAGGCGAGGGGAGCATGCCTCAGCACCCTGGGCCCCTAAACCCAACATGAGGTGGCCATGAAAGCAAGCTGGGACAGGAACCCCTGCTCCCCACCCCAGCCTGCCCATGTGGGCAGTAGCAGCCCCCTCTGCATCTTTGGGGTCACTGCATCATGGTTCACAGTACAGCTCCACCACCGAGCAGCCCCATTGGGGTGCCCCCACCCACCGTGGGCTTCAGGGGCAACGCCATCTCCCTCCCAGCCATGCTTGGGGAATGGGAGGCTGCAGCGGGGGGACCTCAGGCAGGGGAGGGGGCACCCCGACAAGGGACCAGAGAGCGGCTCTGGGCATCCTGCTTCCCCTGACCTCAGCAGGCTCTCGGGTTAAGCGCCGTGCTGGAAGCACACAGTAAATACCCACAAACACCCACTAACGATGATGATGAAACAATGTGTAAAATGGGACCTGGCTCCTGAGGCTGCAGTGAGCCGGGCTCTTGGGAAATGAGTTAATAAAAGACCCTCCAGGGGCCCAGCGCAGTAGCCTAGTGGCTAAAGTCCTCACCTTGCAGTGCCAGGATCTCATATGGGTGCCGTATCGTGTCCCAGCAGCCAGGCTTACCACCCAGCTCCCTGCTTGTAGCTTGGGAAAGTAGTCAAGGATGGCCTAGAGCCTTGGGGCCCTGTACCCATGTGAGAGACCCGGAAGAAGCTTCTGGCTCCTGGCTTCAGATTGGCTCAGCTCTGGACTGGGGGGTGAATCAGCGGACAGAAGAACCTTCCTCTGTGTCTCTCCTCCTCTCCGTATACACAATTTTCCAATAAAAATGAATAAATCTTTAAAGAATCATGACATTGACCCTTTTAAAAAAAAATGCCTCCAGGGGCAATGGGCCCTGCGAGAGCAACAGGAGCCTGTGGGTGTGTGCGGCCATGGCAGGGCAGCTGTGTGTGTGACCTGGGTGGCGAGGACCATCAGCACGACCCTGCGTGACTGTGAGCCTCGAGTGTGAGGGGAGGAGTAAGCCACCACCCTACTGCCTGAACCAGAAACCAGCTCTGTCCCTGGGGTGGCAGGTCCCATGCGCCCGAGCCCCACCTGCTGACTCACGCTAACGGGCACTCCCTTGTCCTTGGGGCAGGAATCTGGCAATCCACGGGCACCCACGCGTCTCTCCCCTCCCTGCCCTCACATGGGCCCCCCAGCCCCGTCCACGGCCAGACCCGCCTTGGGCAGGCCCCCCTCCTGTGCTACCCTTGCAGCAGAGGGCCAAGTCCAGGGGTTCAGGAGCTGGGGAGCCCTCTCCACGCCAGCTCCCCACTAAGTTCCACCTGGACTGGGCAGGTGATGGCTCAGGGTGCCCACGTGGGAGACCAGCTGGGCTGCGTCTCCCCAGCTTGCCGCCGTGCGGCCATCTCTCACACCTCCTTTATTCTGGATGCAATCAGATATGGCAGGAGTTAGGCTCCTCACTGAGCTGGTCCAGCAGGGAGGACGCTGCTTATGGAATCCCCAGACACACAGTGTCCACGGGGGGGCGTCCAGGCCCAGCCCAGCACCCTGCGCCCAGCACCCAGCACTCAGTACCTAGCACTCAGCGCCCAGCACCCTGCACCCAGAACTCAGCGCCCAGCGCCCTGCACGTACCCCCATCCTGTTCCTCCCTGCCACAATTCTTACACAGAAAGCGACGCCCAGCACGGGCCGCCTTGTGTCGCAAGGGGAGCCCTTCCGGTCCGCTCCGCGCAGGCGCGGGATTCTGCACCCGCGGCGGCCAGCAGAGGGCGCGCGGCGAGGGCGCTTTCCGGCAGCGTGGCGGAAACATGCTCGCCCTTTCGCGCCCTTTCACGACTGCTGCGCGCCGCGCGGCGGCAGTGTGGCAGTCATGGCGTCGCCCTTCAGCGGGGCCCTCCAGCTGACGGATCTGGATGACTTCATCGGGCCGTCCCAGGTGGGCCTGGCGGGCGGGCGGCGGGAGCCGCGGCCGGCCTCGACGCCCCCGCCGCGCTGGCCCCGGCGGCCCGCCTGAAGCTCCCTCCGCTGCAGGACTGCGTCAAGCCGGTGCAGGTGGACGCGAGGCCGGGGCGCGGCGCGGCCAAGATCCTCATCCAAGACGACGGCGGCTACGTCCAGGTCCAGCAGGTGGGCCGGGGCCCGCGGTCAGCGGGAGGGCGGGCGGGCGGGCGGGCGCGGGCCTCCCCGGCACTGGCCGTGCTGCCTGCAGGACGGCGGGACGCGCCGGCTGGACAAGGCCCGGGTCTCCCTGGACGACTGCCTGGCCTGCAGCGGCTGCGTCACGTCCGCCGAGACGGTGCTCATCACCCAGCAGAGCCACACGGAGCTGCGGAAAGTTCTGGAAGCCAACAGGGTGAGATGAGGTTGGGGGTGCCCTTGAGAGGCTGCGTGACCTCGGGGGCCATGGCCCAGCATGCCCCACCACGGGGGTCGGCATCCCTCCACGTGCCCCCGGGGTCAGCCACCCCGTCCACAGGGGTCAGCATCCCTCCACGAGCCCCTGGAGTCAGCCGCCCCGTGCACGGGGGTCAGCATCCCTCCACATGCTCCCAGGGTCAGCATCCTTCCACGTGCCCCCGGGGTCAGCATCCCTCCACATGCTCCCAGGGTCAGCATCCCTCCACATGCTCCTGGGGTCAGCATCCCTCCACATGCTCCCAGGGTCAGCATCCCTCCACGTGCCCCCGGGGTCAGCCGCCCCACCCACGGGGGTCAGCGGCTAGCGGCCTCTTTCTCCCGACCTGGTAGGTGGTGGAACCTGCACAGCGCAGGCTTGTGGTGGTCTCCGTCTCGCCCCAGTCGGCGGCATCCCTGGCTGTCCACTTCCAGCTGACACTGGTGGACACTGCCCAGAAGCTGACGTCCTTCCTCAAGCAGATGGGTAGGTGGGGGGAGTCACTGCCCGAGGACCACTGCTTTGGACTTGTGTGTCCTGGCTGCTGGTTCCACCTGTGCGGGTCTCTGATCGTGTCCCCTGCAGGCGTGCACTCTGTCTTTGACACAGCCTTCTCCAGGAACTTCAGCCTGCTGGAGAGCCAGCGGGAGTTTGTGCAGCGGTTCCGGCACCAGACACTGCCTGTACTGGCCTCTGCCTGCCCAGGTGTGTGCTGGCTGCAGCGTGCCGTCGGTAGGGTTGGCGGGAGGTGTCCGTGGGCAGGGGCCGATGGGCAGGTGCGTGCTCGTCGGCCCAGCAGCCACCGTGCCAATGCAGGCTGGATCTGCTACGCGGAGAAGGCACATGGCAGCTTCCTGCTCCCCTACCTCAGCACGGTCCGCTCCCCGCAGCAGGTCATGGGCGCCCTGCTCAAGGACTTCTTTGCCCAGCAACAGGTAACAGTGCAGGAGGGGCTGGCGGGGCTCCCCTCTGCCGTCACAGGGCCGTGGCCATCCCGCATGTGCGTTTCCCCCACAGCACGTGGCCCCCGACCAGGTCTACCATGTCTCGGTGATGCCGTGTTATGACAAGAAGCTGGAAGCCTCACGGCCAGACTTCTTTGACCAGGAGCATCAAACCCGGGATGTAGACTGCGTGCTCACCACAGGTGCCGCTCAGGGCTCCTTCCCCGGCCAGGGACGCCTGCACCTGTTCTGCTTTCATGGTTTTGTGTTTCCAACTCTCCCTGTGGCCTTCCTACATGGCTCTGCTTCTGTCCACCCTCTTTTTTTAAAGAGCATACTTGCATACTTTTGTTATTATCGCTTCATTGTGCTTTGTTTATTTGAAAGCCAGAGTGATACAGAGTTTCACTGCCCACAGCAGCCAGGGCCAGGCCCACCCAAGAGCTGCCAGCAGCTCACTTACCACTGGGCCTGGGCTCACACCATCCCCCTGCATGGCTCAGACCGCTGCTGTGTTCCAGGCGAAGTCCTCAGGCTGCTGGAGGAGGAGGGGGTCTCGCTGTCAGAGTTGGAGCCGGCTCCCCTAGACAGCCTGTGAGTCATCCTAGGGCGCTCCGTCTAGGAGCCCAGCAGCGGCCCAGCGTGTGTGGGGGCAGGGGGTGACCAGCCACCTGTGTCCTGAGTGGCAGGGACACTTAAGCGCTGACTACCCTCCCACAGGTCCGGTTATGGCCCAGCTGAGGAGCCCAGTAGCCATCGGGGTGGGGGCTCAGGCGGCTACCTGGAGCATGTCTTCCGGCATGCAGCCCAGGAGCTCTTCGGGGTTCAGGAGGCAGACGTCACCTATAGACCCCTCAGGTCAGTGATGGTGTCCTTGGAGGGAGGCCCACCTGGGGTTGGGGTGGCCCCTGAGCCTTGCCATGTCCCCCAGGAACAAGGACTTCCAGGAGGTGACCCTGGAGAGGGAGGGTCAGGTGCTGCTGCGCTTCGCCTCGGCCTATGGCTTCCGCAACATCCAGAACCTGGTGCAGCGGCTCAAGCGGGGCCGCTGCCCTTACCACTATGTGGAGGTCATGGCTTGCCCCTCAGGTAGCTCACCCCTCAGGAGCTGGCAGGGCTTGGGGTGCCCATGGATGCCACCCATGCCCCACGCCCTCATCCTCTGTCCCTGTGCAGGATGCCTCAACGGTGGCGGGCAGCTCAAGGCCCCGGCCGGCCCTGGCCGGCAGCTGCTGCAGCAGGTGGAGAAGCTGTACAACGAAGTCAGAGTGCAGGCGCCCGAGGATGTGGCTGGTGTACGGGAGCTCTACGCCGAGTGGCTGCAGGGTGAGGACTCGGCCCGGGCCCGCCGCCTACTGCACACCCAGTACCATGCCGTGGAGAAGGCCAGCTCCGGCCTCAGCATCAGGTGGTAGGACTGGACACCTGGGAAGGCCACCACAGCGACCGGGCCCCATGTGGAACAGGACACTGGGCTGAGGACAGCCCTTAGGCTCCACACCCTGCTGACGGGTCACAGGCCAGACGAGGAGGCTGTTCTGGAAGCTTGTGTCCAGGCAGGCTCCAAGCAGGCCTCAGCGCTGACTGGAGTGTGCAGAGGCCGGCCGACGGGGATGCATGAGCCGCACTGGGGCCAGCGCATGCCCTGTCCTGGTTGGCTCCTGCCACCTGTGCCTCTAATAAAGGTTTCCCCCAGTTGTGTACACACATAGCTGAACACAGCGTCTTCTGGAAAGCCCATCAGCACTATGCCCCCTGCTGGCCACAGCTGGCCACCCTGGTCTCAGGGCCTGCACTGACATCATGGTCTCAAAACACCACCCAAGGTTGAGTGGATCTGCTGGTGCTCAGGCAAGGCAGCCAGCAGACCCCCTGGTTGGGGTCTCATGGAGGATACGCCTGCATGTCCCAGTCAGACGTGGAGCTGGCCCCACGGTGCTCACTGACCTGGCTAGCATCGACCCAGCTCTGCCGTGCCAGGGGTACAGACGCGCTGGCATCAAGGCCTCTACAGAATGGCCTTGGCCTCGGCCACCCAGACAGCTGCTTGCCCTCCAGAGACCCCAGCTGGAGCCCCACCCACAGAGGGGCTCCTGGTCAACACCAGTGAGATTGCCAGGTCTGAGGGCCTACTGCAGCCCCCTTGGTCCACAAGCCCATCCCTGCCCGGGCCATGTGCCCTGCCTGCCCACTCATCCCCAGGGTCTAACATGTGCAGCCCCTGTGGGAGCATGCGGGGGGGCCACACCCCACCCTCCACTAACCCCTCACTCTAGGAAGCTCTTTCCCCCAACATGCTTATTGAGCTCATGGGGATGTGCAGATCTGTGAATAGGACCCCTTAGCACTCAGGCTGGAGTGTTTTGGCTACTAGGTCCAGCTGCCCACCCTTGGACACAGCAGCGCAACCAAGCACACACAAACGTGCAGATGTGAGGCTGCAGGAAGCTCAGCCCAGTAGCCTCTGCCCTCTCCCAGGCCAGCACCTCCCACAGGACGACGCCTGGCCTAGGGGCGGGCCCGTGGCCTTGACAATGTTGTCTGGTGTCCTGACAACCGCCACGAGGCCATCGGGGAATGGAGCTGGGCGGGAGCGCACAGCCTGGGCCAGGGGCCACAGAGACGGTGAGTGTGCCTCTGTGGTCAGGCATGGTCCTCCCTGCTCCCCACCGGCTGCAGCTATGGCCAGGAAGGGTGGACAGCTGGAGCAGGGTCCCACCTTGTGGGGTGGGGGCCATGCCTCTCCAGGTTGCGACAGGAGCTGAGGGAGTGCCAGGAATGCCTGGGGACAGCCTAGTGTGGGCCAGCAGCCTCCTGTCGAACCGACAGCTGGGTGAGGAGCAGTGGCTGCAGGTGGGTTGGGGCCGAGGGGGAGGGCAGGAGCGCCCCTCAGGCAGGTCACTCACCTGGCCCCCACGCACAGATCTCCAAGGAGCTGGCTGACCTGGAGGTCGCAACCCACAGCCTGCGTGAGCAACACGAGGCTGAAGTCTTCCAGCTGAGAAGCGAGGTGGGTGGTCCCTGTGCCCATGGGAGCCTATTGCACCTGGGGGATGATGTGTCCCTCTGCCACAGCCACGTTCCTGCAGGTCCTTCGGCTGGAGGGCCGGGTGCTAGAGCTGGAGCTGCATGGAAACCACGCCAGCCAGGGTTGTGCAGCCCCAGTCACAGCCAGCCTGCCCACAGCCCAGGGGCCTGGACCTGCTGACCACCATCAAGTGCAGGTCACCTTGAGCACGGGTCGGGCCTGGCGGGAGGGGGTGGAGGGGAACCACCATGCCGTCAGACTGCGACCTGTTCCTCAACCACTCTGCCATGCAGATGCTGCCCCAGCAGGAAAAGCCAAGGGATGGAGTGAGCCTCCTGGCTGGGGAGGGGGTTCCTGGCTGACCCTCTGTGCACCCCACACAGAGCAGTGGAGGGGTCTTGATGGGCCCCCATGTATCTCACAGCTGCAGGGAGATGCCAACCAGGCACTAGAATGCCACCAAGCACAGCAGCAGGCGCTGGAGGCCCGTGTGTGAGTGGTCATCTCCCTTGGGACCATGAGGGCCCAGCAGGATTCCTACAGCCCCCCGGGGCCTGACTCAGTCCCACACCTGTGCCCACAGGGCAACCCTGGGCAAAGACCTACAGCATGTCCAGGAAGAAGCTAGAGTGTCCAGGCAGCAGCTGGCTACACAATCCATGGTAAGCTGCCCCCATACACACACTGGTTTCAAGACCCAGCAGGCGAGGCCCCAGAACCCTGCCAGCACTACCTGCTTTCCAGGCACTGTCTGCCTGCCAGGGCCAGCTACGCCAGGCAGAAGCCGAGAATTCACGGCTGCAGCTCCAGCTCAAGAGGCTGAGCCAGCAGTACGCAGTCCGGCTGGAGCGCCAGATCCAGCAGGCCATGGTGAGGCAGCAGGCGGCTGGGCAGGAGCCCTCCCTCCCTGGTGGGCTGGGACCCAGATGCTGCCCTGTCCAGCCCTGTGTCATCCACAGGAATATGCCACTGGGGCTGGTGGCCCAGAGTCTACCACCGCTGCCCTGTGCGGGTTCCTGGAGGCCACCCTGCAGGACATCCGGGCAGCCCACCGCAGCCGAGAGCAACAACTGGCCCGGGCCGCCCATGTCTACCACAAGCGTCTAGCAGATCTGAGCCGCCGGCATGAGGAACTGCTGGCCACCCGAAGGTGGGCCTCACCGCCATCAGCACCCAACAGGGATGACCCTGAGCTAGTTTGGGGAGCAGCCTTGGGCGCTGTCTCCTCTGTGGAATTCCTGGTATCCCCCAAGGCTGACTACGGCAAGTGGACCTGCTGGGTGGAGCTGATCATAACGGGAGGGCCAGGGAGCCCCCATGGCACCTGCAAGACTTCACGATGGAAGCCTGGTGACCTGGATCCCCTAGTCCCCAACTGCATGGAGGGCAGCGTCAGATGGGGGCTGTCCCTACGGATGGGGTCCTGGGCAAGCTAGCCCAGTGGCAATGCCCGGAGTGTCTAGCAGCCCTTCTGGGGCCCAGACTGCCCTTGCCTGCCACATGCAGATGGCTCCAGGGCCTGGCAGAACCCTCTTCCGCCCTTGACTAACCACACCAGGCAGCTCCTGGGCTGCCAGCAGGCCTTTCAGGATCACGCAACTTCTTACAGTGGTGCAGATGCTGCAGCCTGGGCCCAGATCTGGAAAAAACTCCAGGCCACCTCACGTGGCAGTCAGGTAGTGGATGCACAGTGGAGAGCGGGAGGCTCACCACACCTTATCCTGGCTCACGGCTCCTGCCCCCACCAGGCAGAGCTGGAGTGTGAGCGGGCGCAGCTGCTGGCCCGGGCTACAGTGGCAGAGGGCCAGCTTACCCAGCTGCAGGAGTATGTGGACCAGCACCTGGGCAGGTGGGATTGGAGAGCAGGGGGAGGCAGGCGGGGGCGCGGGGCAGCCAGGCAGGTGACCCTGCCCCTGGTTATCCCAACCCCTGGCAGGTACAAACAAGAAATCCTGAGGCTGCGGAAGCTTGTGGGTGCAGGTGACCCCTGCAAGGTGGGGTCCCTCCCGCACCCCAGCCAAGCTTCAGTGACCTGGGACTCCCAGCCACTAGCCTGCTGCCCCTCCTCCCACAACGCACCTCCAGGGAACCACCCCCTAGCAGTTCTAAAGAAGTAAATTGAACGGAGTCCCGTGTCTTTATTCCCCCGAGATGGTCAGGTGGGCTGAGACCCAGCGGCAGGGGCCGGGCCTGCTGTCGGGGTGGCCGGGATGGTGCGCCTACTGCCAGCAGCGGGGATGTCGTAGGCCCACACTCGGTCCAGCCCTTCACCCACGACGGCCACTGGCTGCCAGGTGGGAAAGGGGAAGCGTCCAGACACGACCCGGGCCCCGGCAGGCAGCTCAGCCTCCAGCTTGTCCTCCAGCAGTGCCAGCTGTGAGGGAAGGGGCGCGCGTGGGTGGGTGCGCGTGGAGACAGCAGGGCCCCCTTCCCGCGCAGACCCCGAGGCAGAGCCGCCAACCTACTACACTCGGCGCCAGGAACACGGACACGTTGCGGCAGTCCCTCAGGCTCACCTGTGGAGGAGCAGTGTGCGTGGGGCGGCCCCAGGGGCGCGGGGGAAGCAGGGGAGGCCCGCGCGCGCTCACCTTCCAGAGGTCCTGGCTCTGGTAGCACACGGCGCCCGCACAGCCTGCTCTCCACGCGTGGAACCGCGCCAGCGCCAGCAGCCACGGGTTCAGTTCGTAACCCACGGCCGGGCGCAGGCCGCAGCGGTGTGCCGCCAGCACCTGTGGGCCCGGGGAGCTCGGTGAGCCCGGGGACGCAGCCCACGCCCCGCACGCCCCGCACGCCCCGCCTTACGATGCGGCCGTCGCCCGAGCCTAGGTCCACCGTCTTGCCCGGACGGCCCCGCAGCAGCGCCAGCACGTGCTCCACCTGGCGCGCGCTCGCGCCCGCGAACGGAACCTGCGAGAGGCGCGCTCAGTGCCCGGCCGGACCGCGGCCCTCCCGCCCGGCCACCGTCCCGGGCGCACCTGCAGGCGCAGCGGCACGCGGCGGAAGCCGGGCTGCAGCAGCAGCGCCCACGCGGCGTAAGCCACCAGGCCCGAGCCGGCCGCCGCCTGCAGCAGCCCCAGCGGCCCCGGCCGCCGCTCCCGCAGCTCCGCCAGCGCCTCGGCCGGCTCGTCCGGCTCCATGGCCGCGGGACGCTGCCGGGCGGAAGCGGGCCTGGCGGCGCCGGAAGGAACCCGTGGGCCGGTCCGTCGCCGCTTCCGGCCGGGCTGCCCGGAGCGTGCGGCGCTGCGTTCCGATGGGAGCCGTGCCCGTGAACGGGGCGACCGGAGCGGTCGGGACTCGCCGGGGGGCCCCCGGAAACCAGGGCCTGGCGCGGCTCTGCCTCCGTCCCGCGTGGGTGACCCGCATAGCGGTCTCGCCGGCGCGCACAGCCGCCCTCGCGTGCATCCCCGGAGCGCAGCGGGTCGCAGGGCCTGAACTGCCGTGGCCGAGCGGGGTTGCAGGGGCGCAAGGTCCCGGTGCCTCCCCGCTCGCCGCCCTCCCTGCGGGTCTAGCCGGACGGCCACCCCGCGCCCCTGCAGGACGCACAGCCTGCTGCCCTCTGCGGCGTCAGGCCTAGGGCAGGCGAACACGGAGGCAGCGAGGCCCCGGCAGAAGCTAGCCAGGATTGGGGCGCAGCTCGGCCTTGCTAGGGGGCCTCCCGAGTGCTCGCGGGGTCCAGCGGGCTCCACCAGGCTTGCTGCTGGGTGTCTGCGCACTGGCGGCCCAGGCCCCCTCCCCCTAGCTGGCCCTTCACACACTGGCACAGCCTGGGCACCAGGTCTAGAGGAATGCTGGTGGCTCACCCAGAGTCCAGGGTTTAGCTCTGCCCCCTAGGAGTTGGGGGTGACAGCCAGGGCACCCCAACGCAACAGGAGCCACCGGGCTGTGTCTGCTGGCCGAGGGAGGCAAGTGACAACGGGGCCTCAGTGGAACGCGCTCAGAGCGCCATTGGAGCTACGGCCGAGGCCAGACCCCATCCGCAGGCCCTGCCCCTCGGCGCGCACACCTGCCGTTCTTCATCCGGCTGGCCAGGTGGGGTGCCTGCAGGTGGGGTGTTCACCCAGGCCAGGGAGGCTGGAGGCGCAGAGCACGACGCCACGGTGGGCGTGCCCCTGTAATCCATGTTCTCATCTGCATCCCTTCCCAGAGGCAGAGGTCCAGAAGCGATCCACCCTCAGTCCAGGGCCAGAGCACGGGGGGGGGGGGGGGGGGGGGGAGCAGGTCCCGCTGGGCCAAGCCACCCCGAGGAGGCTCCAGTGCAGGATGCAAAAGTGCAGGGCAGTGCACACCCACCCCTCTTCCAGCAGGGGCAGCAGCGCCCAGTCGCTCTGAGTCCGCGGTATCCCTGCCGATGGGGTCCGGGAGACATGGAGGGGGCGACCACCCTGCTGGTGGGCACGCGGAGGTGTGGCCCAGGCTCCACCCACCCTACATGGGGCATGCAACCTGGAGGAGCTGGAGTGGCTACATGGCCAGCAGGCACCTTGCGAGGGGACATGATGTGGGCACCTGCCAGGCCTCCCTGCCCCTGCCAGGAGCAGGAGCCACGCCTGTCCCAGGCTCTGGGAGCCAGGAGCTGCAGGGAGACGCCCGAGGCGAGGTCAGTCTTCCAATTCCCAGAGAGCAGCAGGAACGCAAGGCAGCGTCTCCATGAAAACCAGGAGGCACCCAGGACTTTTGTTGGCAGCGCCAGGCTGGGTAAGGGAGGTCACAGGTGTCCAGAGCTCTGATTCTGTCCCAACCCCTTCCCACTTCTGCCCCACCCGTGCTCACTCCTTGCCTCGCTTTGCTTTGCTGTCTGCTGCCCCCCTCCCCGCCCCACCACAGCGCATCCCTTGGCGTCCACACCTAGGCGTGGGCCTGCAGAGGCAGCTCTGGGGCGCGCGAAATGCCATGACTGCTACGGAAGCAGTGTGGGGTGGTTTGCAAGAGGAGGCCCTGCTGCTCGCCTGAGCCCCAACGTACTCGGCATCACCAGCCCTAGACCCATCCCAACCCCCCCACTGTCCCCAGCCTGGGAGCCCAGAACGGCATCCGGCCTCCCGCTATGGGTGCAGGTGCCGACTAGTTGCTTGGAGAATCTGTGAAGGCATTGAGGAGCCCAGGGAGCCGCTCTGCTTAACGCACATTTTAACCAAGTCACAACGAGGCCACAGGACTCAAGTCAGACCTTGGGTTAGCTGGACGGTGGCGTCCCCACACCCCCAGGGGCTACCTGTCAATTTTGGCCAAGAGGACACATGGGGTTCCCATGCAGCCCCTGAGGGCTGGGACGCCAGTTTCTGTCTCATGGGGTGCTGGGAGTGGGGTAAAGGAGAAGCCCATCAGACCTAAAGGCATTGCCCCTCTGGCCGCTGAGGGGACTGGTGCTGCGAGGTGGACCAGCGGCCAGCGGGGGAGACATGCCTCCGGGGTGAAGGATGGAACCAGGAATGTCTGTGGGTGAGGCAGGAGGCTGGCAAGCCCCTCCAGCGTCCACCCCACCCCATGTCCTGCAGCCAGAAGAGGGCTGGCCCTGGCGGGTTGCACTTCCCGGGGTGGTGCCAGGCGCTGGACGCATCAGGGGCACTTCCAGGGAGGGTCATTAAGGGACCCAGGCCTGCAGCCTCAAGGTCTCCCAGGCCAGCCGCACAGTCCACCGGGCTCAAGCTGGCCCAGTGCACCTAGGGGTGTGGCAGTGTCCGGCCCCGCCCCCACCTCACCACCCTTAGGGAGCTAAAAATAACTGCAGGCTCTCCTGCCAGGGCCCGGGAACCATCCCATTGCTAGGAGACAGCAGTTGCTGCGAGACAGTTGTTGCTAGGCGATGTGTGTTGCCATGGTGACAGCTGGGCCTGAGTCATCCTCAGCCAGGCCTGGGTTGGTCCCTGGGGCTCTCCAGTAGTGCAGGTGCCTAGCAGCAGTCAGCTGACCCTCAGCCTTGGTCTTGGGGCGCAGGGTGGGGACAGGGGCACAGGGCCAGGAGGAGCTGGGGCTGGGCTCTGGGGCTCCACCCCACACTGTGAGTCCACTCTCAGGATGTACAGCACAGGGACATTCTTCCATGAGTTTCATCAGGACCCAGAGCACATGCCTGTCCCCGGGGCTTCAAGTACCTCAGGAGTGACCTGGTGACCAAGCTGGACCCTGGCTGCCCTTTCCCTCCCACAAGGTCCTAAGGCAGCAGCTTTTCAGTCCCGTTACCCGAGACCCACACCTCTGCACTCCTGATTGGGGGGCATCCCAGCCTCAGGAGTCAGGCCAAGGGTACCCCAGGTGAGGGGTGCCCAGTGAGGGGTGTTCTAGGTGAAAATATCCTACATGAGGGAGGCCCCAGTAAGGGGTACCCTAATTGAGGAGTCCCTAGATGAGAAGTATCCCAAGTGTGGGGTGCTTCAGCTAAGGGTGCTGGTCTCTACACAGGGGTACTGGTCTGCACAAACACACAAGGGTGTTGGTGTGCACATGGGAGTGCTGGTGTGTACACAGGGGTGCTGGTGTGCACACAGGGGTGCTGGTGTGCACAGGGATGCTGGTGTGTACACAGGGGTGCTGGTGTGCACACAGGGGTGCTGGTGTGCACAGGGATGCTGGTGTGTACACAGGGATGCTGGTGTGCACACAGGGGTGCTGGTGTGCACAGGGATGCTGGTGTGTACACAGGGGTGCTGGTGTGCACACAGGGGTGCTGGTGTGCACAGGGGTGCTGGTGTGCACACAGGGGTGCTGGTGTGCACAGGGGTGCTGGTGTGCACACAGGGGTGCTGGTGTGTGCACACAGGGGTGCTGGTGTGCACAGGGGTGCTGGTGTGCACATGGGGGTGTTGGTGTGTACACAGGGGTGCTGGTGTGCACACAGGGGTGCTGGTGTGCACAGGGATGCTGGTGTGTACACAGGGGTGCTGGTGTGCACACAGGGGTGCTGGTGTGTACACAGGGGTGTTGGTGTGCACATGGGAGTGCTGGTGTGCACACAGGGGTGCTGGTGTGTGCACATGGGGTGCTGGTATGTGCACAGGGGTGCTGGTGTGCACACAGGGGTGCTGGTGTGCACAGGGATGCTGGTGTGTACACAGGGATGCTGGTGTGCACACAGGGGTGCTGGTGTGTGCACACAGGGGTGCTGGTGTGCACAGGGGTGCTGGTGTGCA